TCCTCATTTTGTGGCTTTTTATTCGATTTCCATTTCTATTCCCATTTCATTCCTCTTTAGGGGTTATCATTTCATTTCATCCATCTCATTCTCCCCGTTTCAACTGCGACCTCGGCGGGTTTAACTCTGATTTTCCTTCCTCAGCAAAAGGGCGCATTCCTCGGGCTCCGATTTGTTCACTGTTCCCGGATGTTATTGACGGGATGCATCATCCATCTACTCCGACGAAACTCTAACCTAGAAGGCTGAACCCAAATTCAATTGCAATCTATCTATTTCGTACTCCCTACTCCCTATTCGGTATACTAATATTGATGTTCTCCGCTCTACCCTACCCGACGGACTCGTCCCACCTGGACCTCCTTCGGTTACGGACGATCGTGAACCGATCGTCATTTCGACCCAATCCATCTGCCCTTCCAGAAATCCCCAAGCCCATCTTTCAAAAGTGACTAATCGGCTAGCGTCCGAACTGTCGGGTGCCAGTGTTGTATGTGTATTGCATCCTTCTGCAGGGATAAACTCCCACCCCCCTCGTATCGGAGTGCAGTGCAGGAGGGGGACCCCTCTCGACGAGGCTGCCGCCGTTTAATCCTTTCGTCATCACTGTGATGAGGAGTGAGATTGACAGGGACGGTCCCGAATATCTTCCGTGGCAATTTGCAAACTGCCCTGCATGGTTCAAATTGCGCATCGCACGGCACGGAGGTGAATTCCATTAAATCATGACTTTTCTGGCCTTTTACCCGCCGGTCATAGGGATGCCCCAATTTCCTTCCCTTCTCCCCCCCAGCTAGATGAACCGTTTAGTCCCAAACCACAAACCACAAACCACAAACCTCGCCCACCTGCTTCCTCTAGAATTCTTCCGAGCCCGGAAATGAAAGGGAACAGCGCTCTTCCGTCCACCCGCGCGCCCGCACACCCACACACCCGCATCCCGCATTCACATCCGCCCGCACACGAAGCCGACATTCGAATAGCCGTCCCACCCGTAGAATTCCTACAGTAAGACCTCTTTGCCTGTTCACTTATTGGACCTCTTCCTTCTTCCCTCCTCCACTGTGGAAAAATAGTAACGGCTGGAGAGTCTCCAGTTTGAGGGATTTAATGGGCTTACTCGGGAGTTGGTGAGTGGCTAAGAAAAGAATGGCTGCAGCCACCCATGGATCCAGAACCACTTTGTCGCCCAACGGTCCAATGGCTCCCTTCAATGAGGGTCCTATCGACGCTATTTCGATTCTGCAGCCTTTTCTTTCCTTTCCTTTTCGATCTTATCCTATTTTGATCTTCGCTTTTATGGAGTTAGGCGATTAAAATCATATCGGCACACGTCAGGGAGAACGGTGGCTTGGGTCGAGCCATGCCCATATTATTAATGCTCTCTGATCCGGATGGGGCTGGAGGAGTGTGGGAGTCCCGAGTATGCATGTTGAGTATGAGTACGGAGTACGGAGTAATGTACATACTCGTCTTCTGCACTCTCGACCGAGTATCCATATAAACAACCCCCCGAGTCTCCTCATCCTGCCTCGGTCAGTCGGCTAGCTCAACGGCGACTTGCCTAATTTAGGATATCCCCCATCACACGGATCACTACGCTCTTCGCCCGGCAGTATGTAGGAGTATCGCAGATCCTCGGCTCTCTGCAAGGCCCCGGCCTAAAAAATCCACAGTAGCATACTCCATCTCGTACATACTACTCCGTACATAGACTACATTTACGTTTCTAGATCGCCCAATTTCCACGTGGCGCTAAGCAGTCTGGAGCTGCCGACTTAGTCGCATGTCTCACACAGTGATCCATGCAGTCGCACCACATGTGATCATGGACCACACTTACCCCCCTCCTCCCAAGGAGACACAGCATGGAGAAGGAGCATGGAGCTCAGCTCGTCTGACCATGTACTCCATACGGAGTACAGAGGTACGTAAAACTCGCGCGAGTTTCGCTCAGGCCCAACCAAAATTTTCGCGTGGATCGAAAGGGTCCTGTGCGAAATTCGGGGGTGGAGCGGGTCCTACACAGTAAACTCTTTTCGACCGACCTGCTCTTGCGGGCACACCGGGTGGGTTCCCCGTGGATTCTCCCGTGGGTTCGTGGATCCCATGTCAAGTTCAACCTTACACTTGGGGACGTTGAAATGGCTCTCAAACTGTAAATTGGAACCGCCGGAGTGGTGTGTACCTGAGCTTGGCATTCCCCGATCTGGAAGGCAGATCATTTCGCCACTCTGCAGAAAAAAAAAAAAATTGACACGGAGGGCCCGACGCTGGGTCTCCGCTGCAGATCCCTATAAGCGGCTCAGCAATACATACGTGCATACATACTCCGTATGTACGTATATTGCAGTTGCGATGTGAACTGCAGCTCGCCTTCAAGTCACGCGCAGTTCGCAGATTCCTTTCTACCCTATACACATGGAGGAGTGGTCAGGATTGGTTCATGTCTCAGAATCATATGGCCGCGCGCCTCTCTCTCCCCGGTCTAGGCTGCTGCGATCCTAGAGGGGCACAAGGCGCATGTTTCAAGAGTGCTGAAAATGTGCTCACGCCGATTAATTAGTCGCATACTCCGTATAGTACTCCGTAACACTCGGTCTTTTCTCGCGAGTCGAGTTCACGGGTATGTTCCGAGGAGCCGAGGACAAGACAGCCCGCCCGGCCAAGGTTACCGATTATAGACATGCAATGGAAATTTGAACGCTCATGTATGTAGACTTCGTACTCATTGCCGGTCATCCTTGGGCATACGCAGGTTCATCATAGACAGCATGTTGCCGGCGGGCCCCGCTGTTCCGGCTTGTCCCTGTAGAGCTTCCAACAAATTCTTGGCCAGATTGATGTTGACATTCTCGTCTTCATCTTCTTCCTCCGTATTGGCATTAGATGATTCACCGGTCTGATTTTTAGATGAGGCCTCAGCAGTCAATTTCTGCTGCTTCCGGTTGAGGTCAAGAACTCCAGTCCCTTTGAGCTCGGCCTCCATCTGTCGAGATAGCTCATGGATCTGTTCTGTGTCATCCTCCTCATCTGTATCCAGGTCTTTAATTCGGTTTCGTAGTGGTGTTTCGAGGGATGGGCCCTGGCCGGAACCGGAAGGCATTCCCATCATCTCCTTCATCATTTTAGCAAATTCTTCTTCGTTGAACGAAGCCTCCTTGTCTTCCTCCTCGTCACTCAGTTCCTCATCGTCATCGTCGACGTCCGAGTCCGAGTCAAAATCATCGATGAAGTCAGCTCCATCGAAGCCGGCTGAGTTATCATTCAAGAACTCTTCGAAACGAGCCACTATCCGTTGAAGGTTTTCCTGGGCCCCTGCATCGCCGAAGTTGCCGCCTTCTGTCGTGTCACCCTTTCCCTTTCCCTTTCCCTTCAATTCCCTGTCCAGATCTTCAAAGTTTATGTCCATCCACTTCTCATCGTCTTCTCGCTTGTCCCAGGATTTTTCAATTTCCTCATCAGTGGGAAGAGTCTCATCGCCGGTCTCAATATCCTCCAACAACAGTTTCATTTCGCGAACAGCGGCTTTATCCTGATGATGGGGATCGTACAGTAGCATTTCGAACCCACAGGCGAGCTTCATTCCAGCTTCGGCTCGAGCATGTGCTTTCTCGTTTTCCGTTCCGGGCAATTTACCTGCCCAGGTGTTCGGGGCCGGGAATTCCTGACTTTTCAGCTGTGCAAATCCGACTCGCGTAAACCGCACGCTCACGGTCACCAGGTCATCTGGCTTGAAGGTAAGGCCCGAGGCATCCTTCGCACGGAGTGGTTGAAGGGCAATAGGATCCCGAATGTAAAACGCCTCCACCGCTGGTGATATGTATGCCGATTTTTGGTGTAAAAGGTATGCGACCTTGCGGGGGATGGTCACAATTGCGGAGTGAAGATTATCGGCGATTTGTTTGGGGTAGTTGCGCAGTCGATAAAACGCCTCCTCTTGTATCATGGGGGATTTCATAAAGCGCGAGGGTTCTTCTTGGATAATCCTTTTAGCCTCTGAGAAAGATAATTTCTCGGTGACCTTTCTGGTTGTCTCCTGTTTGGGCTTGATGATTTTGAGGTCTCCTTGGTGGATCCAAACCTTTGATAGAAATGGATTGTCAGTAAAATATCTAGGAGATGGAACTAGTTCCAGTAAACATCAGTGTGAAACTCACCCTATTGTCCGCCACCTCCGGCTCGAGCCATGAGGGAAGTGTTCCCGCGGCCTCAATGAGCAGGAATTCCCCGTCACTATCTGCGACCTTGATCCAAATATCTGGATGACGCTTGCTCAATTCGCGAAGGAGATATACAATGACCCATTCATCTTCAATGGAGTCTCCATAGTTGGTGCGACCATGAAGTGATGTTATACCTAAATGTGATATATATATATCCGAGATTAGAACGTGCAAGCTGATAAGATATGATGATCATATCATAGGAACGTGCGAGATTTACATACCATCATCCTTCTGAATCTCTAGTCGAAAGCTTTCCCGCTGCCAGATATAATCCTTGAGCAGTTCCTTGGTCAAATCAGCCGCGGTGCGCTGGACCTCTAGCAATCGAGCCCTGGTCTCGGCAGCATCATCGATAACGGCGGGGGCGGGGGAGGGGAGGTGATAAACGAAGTACTGGACTGAGTCGTCGGGCAACTCTGGCTTGGGGATTGGGCGAAAAGTGGACTTGAACCACGCGATATCCTCCTCGGTTGCCATTGCTGGGAAATTTGAAAGAGAAGACTTTCGAGTCTTCTCAGGTTCACCGCATGACCTCACCTCAAAATGGCATTCTTCCGCAAAATCGCCAAAAAAAAGGCGGAAGGAGAGACCCACCCGTGACCTGCGCACTAGTCCCCATTTGGCTAGGAATCAACAGTGACGCTTCGCTCGTCGCATCTCTCGCCCAAAAACACGTCTGGTCCCAACCTTTGCCCTCCGATATCTCCGATTTTCGACGGCAATGGTCGCGTGTTGAATGGTACTTACTTTCCGACACGCGATTTTGTCACAATGGCGTTCCCTTACATCGACACGCCGCGCACCGAAATCGACGGAAACGCGACTTACTTGACCAACGGGTTTCGAAGCGTGGGAAGAACGCATCTTTCGGCGTTGGACTCGGTGGAAAACTCATTCCACACACCTTCCAAGGATAACGACGTGATCAAGGGCTTCGGCGATGGACGAAGACGCACATCCGGGACCTCTAAGGTCGGCACCCCACGCGCGGGCACAGCACAGCGGTCAACCAGAACTGCCTTGAGGCACCTCCCAACCGCAGCACCGGCTAGCGGGGAGTTTACACCTTTGATGAAGAGCGCGACCAAGAACAATTTCCTACGGAACGTGTCGACAACCCGAGGAGCAGACGATCCGAGGACGCCTGGTTTCCTGCGAGGTGGCAATCGCAGCAGTGCCCACACCCCTGGATTACCTGCGATGGATATGTCGGATATATACGAAGAAGATATTACTACCGATGATCCGACGCCTCTTCCTCAGGTTGCTAGCAGCAGCGCACAGAGCACTCCGATGCCCGGTCTCATAGGACGTGACGGCAAGGGTATTTTGGGTGACGGTCAAAATATGACGCTCAAGGAGCAAGAGCGGGTATGAGAACTTTCTTCGATTTTGCTGTTGGTGTTGAGCGGTTGCTAATTTTTTCCCCAGATTATCGATAGGCTCGACAAAGACAACTGGAACCTCAAGCTCAAGATCCACTATTTGGAAGAGCAGATCGAGAAGGCCGGACCAGAATACAATACGTTAGCACTCAAGGAAAACACCGAGCTCAAGGTCGCAAGGTTGACCATGCAACGCGATATCTCCCGGTACAAGAAGAGTTTGCTTCAGGCGGAACATGATTTGGAGGACTATCGACAACAACTCGTGGAGATGAAAGAACGAGCTCGGCGGAAGCAAACCGATGAGGAGGTGCAACGTGAGATGGACGCCATGCGGGAGGAAATTGATTCTAGGGACAATGAACTCCGAGAACTTCGAGAAGAGCTAAGATTGTCCAAAGATGAAAAATCCCAGGAGGCCGAAAAGCTGCGCGACGAGGTGGAAGATCTGGAAGCGTCACTTCGAGAGAAGGAACGGGCCATTGATGAGCGCGATGAAGAGCTGGAGGAACTGCGAGAAAATGGCAAGGAGAGTGATGCCGCCGCAGAGCTTCAAGCTGAGCTTGACCGTGCCAAGGAGCAAATCGAAGAGCTTCAGGATAGTCTTGAAAAGGCCAAGTCGGATTCTCAAGAAGCAAACGAGTCTGCCAGGCAAGCTATTGATGAAAAGGACCGTGCCGAGGAGGATCTTCGAGAGTTACAGGATGAAATGTCGAATAAATCTGTCATGACAAAGGGCTTTAGTCGACAGTTGGAGGAGAGAGCTGAAAAGCTCGAGGAAGAAGTGCAAAGCCTACGTCAAGAGAATGAAAATCTCGCCACCGAAGTCGAAAGAAAAACCCAATCAGTCTCTCGACTAGAGCAGCGATACGAAGACATCCAACAAGACCTGAAGAATAACGCCGGGAAGCTAGGCGAAGATCTGGAATCGGCAAGACGCGACCGGGATTTGGCCCAACAACAACTTGAAAGATCATCCGCTTATCTGCAGGAGGCTCGGGAGGAGATCCAACGCCGAGATGAGGAGAAGGAGCTGCTGCAGACTCGTCACCATGCTTTGACTGACGAGTCTGGGGGTTTACAGAGTGAGCTTGCTCGGGCACAGTCAAGGATCCGCGAGCTTCAATCGGCCGTTGAAGAAGCAACAAACCGGGCCCAGGACACTCAAAATGTCCGCTGGCAGCAAAAAGTGGAAGTCGATCGATTACAAGATGAGATCGAAGCCCTTCAGCACGAGATCGAGGATAAAGAAGGCCACTTTGCCCTCGAACAGGATAGGTGGGAGAGCACGAAACGCACCTTGCAGTCACAGAAAGACCGTGCCGAAGAACAGGCGATGGGCTATAAGCGGACAGTCGAAAGGCTTCAAGAAACCGAGCACACTCTTTCTGGAAAGGAGTACAAGCTTCAAGAAGCCATCGACAGCGAAAAACAGCGCCATACCCAAGAAGAAGCCGTTCTAAGTCGCCAAATCAAGGACCTCGATAACGATCTCTCTCAGAAGAGGCGTATCATCGATGAACAGCGCAACGACCTCTTGACCGTGAGAGAAGAGCTCCGTATCTCACGCCGCGAGGAGCAGTCTTTCAAGGACAAACTGCAGGCACTCGAGGATGAAGTCGTGGTACTGCAGTCGAGCTTGGCAGATGAACAAGAATACGCCAAGGGTCGACTCCAGAAGGGCTCTTCAGATGTGGAGAACCAATTGCAGAAAGCAATTGCAGACAGACAGACTCTTCGAGACCAACTTGCCAATGCTCATGTCGAAATGCACGATCTTCGGGCCACTGTGACTGAAATTGAGGCCGAGCGTAACGAACTACATGCCCAGCTCGATCAACCTCAGAATGCCGATGATACCACTCGCTTCGATCGTGAAAAACTCGAACTCCGAAGGGCTTCAACACGACTTGAAAATGAGTTGAAACGGTTAAGAGACGATAAATCATCCCTTCTCGAGGCCAAGGATACCCTTGAGAAGCAACTTGGCTCCGAGATCGAACGTGCCGCGGCAGATGAGGGTCGCCTTTCAGCTGAAATTGACCGTCTTCAGGATAAGCTTCTTGCAGGCTCTGGAAACCGAGACCGAGAATTGACGACGGCCAAGACAAAAGTGCAGCGACTCGAAAGACGTATCTCAGAACTCGAAACCATCATTGAAAACCAACCTCCAATGGAGATCGAGCCATCAACGGCCCATGGGGACATATCCCTTCTTCGACACGGCCTTGAAGAGGCTCGTCTGCGAGAAAAGAATCTTTTGCAACGGGAAGCTGACCAGAAAGCATCTGTGCGCACCTTGAAGTCCCGGGTGGCTGATCTGGAGAGGGATCTCCATGGTGCCCTCATGAACAAATATGAGTCGCCCTCCCTACAAAATTCACCTTCCAACAAGCTTCACGAGGAGCTACGAAGCCTGCGTAAACAGCTTTCAGACGCTCACAGGTCTCTCAAGGAGACCAAGTCCAAGAACCGGGATCTTGAGCGTGCTGCCATGAAGGAGGAAGACCAGAAGGATTTGCACGAGTTGCTGAAGTCATCAACCCTCGAAGCCGAATCCCTGGCATTGAAGGTCTCTGAGCGCGATTCTCGATTGAACGAGCTGAAAACCCAAAGTACGCCGTATTCGCGAGGAGCGTGCATATTGCGTTCGCAAAGCTGAAGCAACAGCCAAGGACTTGGAAGCACTTCAGCAAAGTTACGATGAAGCTTTGGAGAAGGTCTGTCTTGGAAAATCGACCAACAAAACCAAGCACGAGAAGGAAATGCGTGGACTGGGTAAAGAAATTGTCTGGCTTCGTGCTCGACTGCACCGAGAGGAGAAGTTCCGTCGTGATTTGGCTTGGAGTAAGGGACTAATGGAGCTCGGCGAGCGTGTCCGTGTAGCATGGTTCGTATCTCCCCTTCTCAAAAGCATTACAGGTTAACTAACATGGTTTGATACACAATAGCAACGAAGCCGATCTTCGCCTGATTTCCGAGATGGGCGTCCAAGCTCGCGACCGCACTTCCACGCGTACGCCTCGCAGCAAATTCCGATCTGCTATCTCCATGGTCGTGGCTGCTGTTCGCATGCAGCGGATGGGCCAGGAGTGGCGGCGAACGAAGAAGATTGGCGAAGGCTTGAAGCGGGCCAAGAGCGAGATGCTGAAGCGTCGCGAGAGTTCGAATCGAAGTCTGCTCGGCCAGTAGATGCCTCACTCCGACCAGCTGTCACTGTGTCGTCTTGTTTTTATAGGCCACTTTGCGCCTTTTTCATTTCCCAGCGTCTTACATTCTGCCACGAGAGATTCCCCGACATGTCTTGCTTGTATACATCTTCCTTTTTGTCTGTTCAGTTTCATTCTTTCCAGCATAGGGCGTTCGAAGGACTTTTTTGTGTTCTCCACTTGGGTATTTGGCATTGCTTGAGCATAATGAATGACTGGCGTGAGATTGGATGATAATTATGTCAACTTCAGGTTGTGTAACTTCAACTAGAATTGAATTTGAAATGGATTTATCCTTAGTCAACAGGGCTTTGATACTTTGATACTTGTAGAGGGTAGTGTTTCAATCTACAGACGAACCCTACAAGGGCAGATGGTAGGGAAGAAGCATGTATGTGACTGTTGCTCTTCTTATGACGACAACCCGCCAGGATAAAAAAAAGACATGGATATTTGCTCGATGAACGCCTCGCCGTTGCCAAGGTACTCGAAACCAGTAAAACAAAAACGCTTCTGAACACCAAAATTCTTCAGAAACACGAAACCACAAGCCCCAACATCCCGCAATTGGTCAAAACACGGTCTATTTCAAGATTGGCATCCTTTAGTATTCAACGAGAAATGGTGTGATGCCCAATGAGTGGTGTGTTGTAATAGGAAATGAAAATGAGATGTTTTCGATGCAACACATGAGACAAGAGGTGACTGCCCCTTTGCTTATGCTCCTTCGCTGCCGAACTCCTTCGTCCACTCCGAGTTCCTTGTGAGATCCTCGATGCTGACTGTCGGCCGGGAATTACGCACGGCCTTAATGAAATCCTTCAGAACGAGCGGGGGCTCGAGGAGCTTGTCGGCTTCCACGTTGAGCCAGGTCATCTCCACTGCGCCGGCATCGCCTGGTGAACAAGGGGTGACTTTCTCCTCACCTTCAACAGTTACCTAACCAGGGAATGTTAATGAAACACCCAATTGAAGGGATACGGGCGGCGACAAACCTTCTTATAGTGTGTCGCAGTTTGAATCTTGCGAATAGGTTGCATCAGGGCATCCTGCACAGCGATACTGATATCACTACCGGAGTAGCCCTCACTCATCTCGGCTAGCTGCTTGTAGTCTGCTTGTGTCATATGACACGGCGTCGAGCCCACGGCCAGCATGAACATCTTCATCCGTGCATTGATATCAGGCAGACTGATGTGAACTCTGCGCTGGAATCGTCGCCTAATAGCAGCATCCAATTGCCAAGGAATGTTGGTTGCACCCAGAATCAAAACCCCCCCTTAGAATCATTTCCCACACCATCCATTTGAACCAGAAGCTCGGTCTTGATACGTCGCGACGCCTCGGATTCACCTTCGCCACGAGGTCCGCACAGCGCATCGACCTCGTCAATGAAGATAATCGCAGGCTTGTTTTCACGGGCCATATTGAAGAGCTGTTTCACAAGCCTAGAGAGGTCTGTCAGTGGTATATTTCATCTACAGAGGCAATGCGCTTACCTTTCACTTTCACCCATCCACTTCGACACCAAGTCACTGCTGCTCACACTGAAGAATGTGCTGTTTGCCTCTGTTGCGACAGCTTTGGCAAGATAGGACTTTCCGGTACCCGGAGGGCCATAGAGCAAGATGCCTTTCCAGGGTTGTCGCTTGCCAGTAAAAAGGTGCGGGAACTTGATCGGGAGGATGACGGCCTCTTTCAGTGCCTCCTTCGCCCCCTCCAGGCCAGCAACGTCCTCCCATTTAACATTCGGCTTGTCAGATAAGATGGCCCCTTGAAGCGCCGAGCGAAGCTTTTTGGATTCCGCGTCCTCGCCGTTATCGTCTTCTTTCCTGTTGAGTGCTTTCTGTCAGCTCTGTGTGATACTTGCAGATGCGTACTTTGACCTGTTTGAATCCAACAGAACATTCTCTGAATATCAAGAACAAGAATTCCGTAGGCACGGCAGGTTCAAGAACGCAAAATCAAGGGCGGGGCAAACAACGTACTCGCCCTTCCCACTTCCCTGCGATACCTTGCCATTCGCGCCCACCGCGCTTGGCTTTTTCCCACCGTCCGGCGTTGCAAGATGATTTTTCAGCTTCTCTGCGCGATCCATATATTCGCCGGCCTTCGCCCGGATCATCTCCTTTGACCGGGGGTTCTTCTCCCACTTGAGAGCCAGCATAAACAACTCCAATGCGGAGTAGTAGAGTTGATAGGCCTTCTCGTACTCGCCGTCATTGTCATTCTCGATCGCCTTCTTCACAGTATCGATTGCCCGCCCCAAGAAATCCGTGTTACTCATGCTGGCGGGAGCGAGGTGGTGCCTATCGTCACGTTTCGGAGTTGTGGCAAGTCGACCGCGGAGCGAGAAAGCGGGGAGAGGGGGTTCAAGCAGGGGGCTCGGCGTGCGCAGGCAGCGGCTTAACGAAAGGCAGCAGCTGGCAGGGGAAAAGTGGCAGGCTCAAAGATTGGACGAAGTGTAGGAAAGGCGGAATTCGCTGCGGGGGATGTGGATGATGGGATTGGAGGGGTTGGAAGTGGAAGAGAGTCGTCGCCGGGCGGAAGTCGATCCACCGGGCTTTCTCCTCTGCCACCTCCCCGCCAACCGTCGCTATGGACGCCCAGAAACAGTTACAGGCACTTTCCGACGAGTTTCAGCAGCTGCAGACCGGTATGTTAGCCTTGATCATTGTTATCTCCATCACTATTAATGATCTCTGACTGTTTCTTCCGCAGAGCTCGAGGGTCTGGTCGATGCCCGCCAAAAGCTCGAGTCCCAGCAACAGGAGAACCAGGGCGTGCAGAGTGAATTCGCCCAACTTGATGATGAATCAAATATCTATAAGCTCGTTGGACCGGTACTACTGAAGCAAGACAAGGCTGAGGCCACCATGGCTGTGAACGGTCGGTTGGAGTTCATCGAGAAGGAAATGTGAGCTATCCCAGCTTCTTGTTTGCCGAAATTATTCGCTAACCTATCTTCAGCAAGCGTATTGAAGGAGAGATTACAGAGAAGGAGGAGAAGGGCGAGAAAAAGCGTGCTGAGGTAACGACTGACCTCTCATGACCCAAATTACGAAGTGTATGCTAAATGCAATGTCTACAAACAGGTTCTTCAGATTCAAGCCCAGGCTCAGGCCCAGCAGCAACAGCAGGCCGCAGCTGCTTCAGCCTAAATCTCAAAATAATTCGAATCCATACTCCTCGCAAAACAAAATTAAACTCCGGAAGAGCACTAGTCAACTGGATTTGACCATATAATAAGATGAAATGCGTGCGGCCTGGCCTTCCTGTGTAGCTTGAATGATCTCCACTTGTTGGAAATTCTATAAGATTTTATTGCTGGCAGTTCGAAATAGGTTTGTTTGAGGTTCGATGAATCAAACTGGCCACGTCGAGATACGATTGTGATATCTAGACCTCTGGACGATAGTTGATGAATGCCTCGATGTACTATGGGATTGCCGGTGGATACTGTAGCTGTCATTTATCGAGTTGCTATACTTGGGATTATTAACAGGGGTTGAATAATTATTCAACCTCTTTACTTGAGTGATGCTCCATTATCAACGTTGGATTCACTACTGGGAAATTTGGCCAACTCCCGAAATGCTGCACCTCTATTCTCATTTTCGTAGTATTGACATTTCAAACATCCGTCATTTATTCATTTCCATAGCCAGACACATTTACGTGAAGCAAATCTAAAATCTATGCCTTGACAAGCAGACTCTTGCCAGTCATCTCGGCAGGTTGCTCAATACCCATGGCAGCCAGGACAGTAGGGGCAACATCTCCCAGAACACCACCCTCCTTGGCGAGGCTCCAGCCAGCAGGGGCATTGGCCATGACGAAGGGGACCTGGTTGAGGGTGTGAGAGGTCTTAGGGGTACCCTTTTCGTTGAGCATCTCCTCGGCATTTCTGTAATGATTGGTTAGTATTCATGCGGATTTGATAATACTTCCGAGGGAGACTCACCCGTGATCGGCAGTGATCATGAGGATATAGTTGTTCTTCACGCAGGCCTCGTAGATCTCACCAATGGCCTTGTCGGTGGCAGCGACTCCCTGAATAGCAGCCTCGTAGACACCAGTATGACCCACCATGTCAGGGGGAGCGAAGTTGTTCATAACGAAGTCGAAGTTCTTCTCTCCAAGACGATCGGCCATCTTGGTGCCGACCTGGGCAGCGCTCATCTTGGGGTCAAGATCGTAGGTAGCCACGCGGGGCGAGGGAATCATGTCACGGACTTCGCCGGGAACTGCTTCTCGATACCGCCGTTGAAGAAGAAAGTGACGTGAGCGTACTTCTCAGTCTCAGCAATGTGACATTGCTGCAGGTTCTTCTTGGCCAGCCATTCGGCCAAGACGTTGCCCATGTGTTGGGAGGGAAGGCAACGGGGAAAGTGTAGTCGGTCTTGTATTGGGTCATGGTGGTAATGGAGATGTTCTTAGGGTAGGGGAAGTCGGGTCTGGGGGAGCGGTCGTAGTCACCCAAAAGCTGAGTGATCTCACGAACACGGTCAGAGCGGTAGTTGAAGAAGAACAGGGTGTCGTTGTCTAATAAGAAGTTAGTAAGTGCTATTTCAAAAGCTATATCTGAGACCGTGAGAACTGACCCTGTACGCGACGCTCCTTGCCGCCAACGATGATAGGCTTGAGGAATTCATCGGTCTCCTTCTTCTCATAACGATCCAGAATAGTCTGAAGAGGGTCGGAGCTGTCCTCGCCCTCGCCAGTGATCATGCCCTTCATACCAACCTCGACACGCTCCCAGCGCTTGTCGCGGTCCATAATGTAGTAGCGACCAACAACGGTGGCGATAGAACCAGTACCAACTTCCTTGATCTTATTGAGAAGCTGCTCCATGTATAGGGCAGAGCTCTTAGGGTCGGTGTCACGACCATCACCGAAGAAGTGGATGAAGACCTCGGGGATCTGCATCTCCTTGGCGACATCAAGGAGAGAGAACAGGTGGGTGATGTTGGAGTGAACACCACCGTCCGAGACCAGACCGCACAAGTGCAGACGGCCGTTACCCTCCTTAGCACGAGTGAAGGCCTTGACAATGTTCTCAACCTTGTTCATCTCGCCCTTCTTCATGGTCTGGTCAATGCGGACACTGTCCTGCCACACCACACGACCAGCACCAATGTTAAGATGACCGACCTCACTGTTACCCATCAGGCCTTCAGGAAGACCGACAGCGAGCGAAGAGGCATCCAATCCAGTGTAACCCTGAGCAGTCTTCGAGTTCGCCTCGGCGAAGCCGGACATGAACGGGGTCTCGGCGGCGGCGATAGCATCGCCCTGGGGAGGGGAGTTGGGGCCAGCGATACCCCAACCGTCAATGACGACTGCAAGATGGTGATTAGTCTGGGGATATTCTGGGGACCCTGGTGGGCAAGCTGATCATACTCAAAGCAACTTTTTGGTCGACCGCAGCCATGGTGGGGGTGTATGGTCTCGTAATGACACCTGCAACACGAATCAATGGCTGAACCGAAAAAGGATAAAGGGGCAATTTGAGGGGTATATGGCTTACCTACAGGCAGATGATGAGAGGAAGAAGAGAAAGGGGGAGAAAACCGTTGCAGTCGAAAATTGGCTGGCCGGTGAAGGAGGGGCACAGTTTCCCCCCGGTGACGCTTTTGGTCCTGAGGCCTCCGATGCTCCGACGTCACCTTCCGTTCCGACTCTTCCTAAAACACTTTATCCCAGCCGGCTTCTGGTCGTTCTTCACCCTTATACCCTCGGGTTCCGATCTGTCTTAGATCTGCAATGGCTTCTAGATCTCCAACTGCTGCTACTCCGCTCCCCAAGTCCTCGGTCGCGCCCGAGAGTCCTTCCAAGGAGGCGAACACTCTGGCACCACCCCAGACCGTCCCCTTCCCTCCACCACAGACATTTGAGATACTCCCACAACTCCATGGGATTCTTCTTCGCTTGCTTTCACAGAAGCCTGTTGGAAATGTCGCTGTAGGGGCCCCTGCTGAGGGTACAGAAGTTCCCGGTTCATCCACAGAGGCTCGTCCAGATGGCCAACAACTGCCGTCAAACATCCCCGGCGGCGAGGCCAATGACCCTACAGCTTCTCAAGCTGCAGCTGGTGCCATCGATCCAAATGCCCCTCCGCCACTCGACGTCAAAGATCTCCCCACCGAAACCCACTCGGTCAAAATTCGAATCCAGAAGGCACGGGCCGTGGTAGAAGGACTCCCAGATGTGCAACGATCTGTCGAGGAGCAAGAAGACGAAATATCTGAGCTTGAGGACCGTGTGGCCCGTTTACGTTCTGTGATTTCAGACTTTGGGACCCGAGCAGGGCAGGACCCGCTGGATCATCCCAGAGTGACAGTGACTTGAAGCTCGTGAAGGGTATATAACCCTAAGAATACGAAAGAAACAATTGGGGGTAATTGGATGCACCTAGCTTCCTAGATTTTTTCGTTGGCGTTAAGGAATGGAATACCCAAAATGTATTTAGCGATCATCTATTATGGGACATTATGTCCAGGCTTGTCTCCAAAGTGCATATCGTGCTTCGGAACAGCAAGAAAAGTATTCGGTGCAGCCATGTTCTGCCTATACAAGAAACGACAACTCTTAAGGCTAATTCCTAGCGTCAAGAAGTAAAAGAAAACATACAATTTCCCCATCCAAGGACCCTCGCCCCCGATCCGGCGAAAGTCTCCGATATCGTTCAACAAACTTTCTGCCTGAGGCAGCGGTCGATCACTCCGCCCCTCCCCCCACCACCCAGCTTTTTTTTCTTCTCTCTTCTCTTCATTCTATATATCCTCCCTTTCTCTCTCCCTTTTCTTAGTTCATCAACGAGAAAAAAACATCCATCACAATGACTTACGCTCTGTCCGAAGCCCACAAGGCTGTGAGTATTCCATACCGTCCCATCGCAGGCAAAGAACATATCATTGACTCATTCCTTCTATACAGCAAATGCACAATGGCCTCAAGGAGTCCGACCCTGAGATCTCCGAGATCATGGTACGTGGACTATTCGATCTAATTGAGCTTCCAATGCCTTGATGGCATGGTCAAACTCTCTCAAGTTAGCTTGACTGACCTTGGTTGTCGTTTATAGGAGCGCGAGATTCAGCGTCAGCGCGAGTCTGTCGTCCTGATCGCCTCGGAGAACTTCACCTCCTCCGCTGTCTTCCAGGCCCTTGGTACCCCCATGTCCAACAAGTACTCCGAGGGTTACCCCGGTGCTCGTTACTACGGTGGCAACCAGCACATTGATGCCATTGAGATCACCTGCCAGAACCGTGCTCTGAAGGCCTTCAACCTGGACCCCGCCAAGTGGGGTGTCAACGTCCAGTGCCTGTCTGGCTCCCCCGCCAACCTGCAGGTCTACCAGGCTCTGATGCGTCCTCACGAGCGTCTGATGGGTCTTGACCTCCCCCCACGGTGGTCACTTGAGTCACGGTTACCAGACCGCTACCCGCAAGATCTCTGCTGTCTCTACCTACTTCGAGACCTTCCCCTACCGTGTTAACCTTGAGACTGGTATCATCGATTATGACCAGCTCGAGACTAACGCCGAGATGTACCGCCCTAAGTGCCTGGTCGCTGGTACCTCCGCCTACTGCCGTCTGATTGACTACAAGCGCATGCGCCAGATCGCAGACAAGGTCGGCGCCTACCTGATTGTCGACATGGCCCACATCTCGGGTCTGATTGCTGCTGGTGTCATCCCCTCCCCCTTCGAGTACGCCGATGTTGTCACCACCACCACCCACAAGTCTCTCCGTGGTCCCCGTGGTGCCATGATCTTCTTCCGCAAGGGTGTCCGCAGCACCGATAAGGCCGGCAAGGAGGTCCTGTACGACCTTGAGAACCCCATCAACTTCTCCGTCTTCCCTGGTCACCAGGGTGGTCCTCACAACCACACCATCACCGCTCTGGCTGTTGCCCTTAAGCAGGTTGATACTCCCGAGTTCAAGCAGTACCAGGAGCAGGTCATCAAGAACGCCAAGGCCATTGAGAACGAGTTCAAGGCCCTTGGCCACAAGCTCGTCTCCGACGGCACTGACAGCCACATGGTTCTCCTGGACCTGCGCCCCAAGGCCCTCGACGGTGCCCGTGTTGAGGCTGTCCTTGAGCAGATCAACATTGCTTGCAACAAGAACTCCATCCCCGGTGACAAGTCTGCCCTGACCCCCTGCGGTATCCGCATTGGTGCCCCCGCCATGACCACCCGTGGTATGGGCGAGGAGGACTTCAAGCGCATTGCCGACTACATCAACCAGACTATCGACCTGTGCAAGAAGGTCCAGAGTGAGCTGCCCAAGGAGGCCAACAAGCTCAAGGACTTCAAGGCCAAGGTCGCCTCCGAGACTGTCCCTGAGATCCTGGCTCTCCGCAAGGAGATTGCCGCCTGGGCCAGCACCTTCCCTCTGCCTGTCTAAAGTGGTCATTTGACTACAATATGAAAGGGGAAGATAATTGTTAGGATATGACAGTCACGAAGAGAGATTCTATTTGAGATCTCGCGAGTTCAACATCATCTACGAAAGCGTCGCAAGATGCGAAATATCACACGGTGCGTTTTATGGGGTTTTTTTGATACAGGTCTGCTCTTTCAACCTAAGGGACATCTGGGATTTTGGTCATTCTGTTTATTTTTATTCTTTATATTTATGTTTTTCGTTTTATGAGCATGTGCAACGAGCAATTTCTTTCCACCTCACCGCTCATTCAACTGCGGGAGGTCCTGGATTCTTCAGGAGACAAAAAGTTCAACATAATCTGGCGTGTGGGCCTTTGATTTTGCTGTACATCACCCATCCAATTTACTCTTGGAATTCCAATACAACCAAATGCGTGGTTGGACAAACTTTTCTTTTCCGACTACCTAAGGTACTCATGAAGTACCTCCATCTAGTTCTGAAGTACATTTATGACCGATGCCCCATAGTGAAGGTACTTTGTCGGCACTTCGTAGGTACTTTGGGTCTTTTTATGTAATGCTCCCTCACGTGCTGGTTAGGCCCCTCAGTCCACCTTCCAACTTCCAACCTTGGGGGATTCCCCGCGAGACTTCCTCTACCGTTGCGTCATTCATTTTTTATGCGTTGAACTCACCCCCGTGTCCTTACAGATCGCCTTGGTTCTGTCCCGAGTCTTTTTGAGGCAGCTGTTGCTATATTCAAGCTCGTTGACCTCCCCCGCTTTACTACTACTGGTTTCGATAAGGAAGCGTCGATCTTATCGCTGTGTCGGACCGTTGCGGATTTCACCCATTGGAAGTCTTCGTCTTCCAAGTTGACCAGACTCGCGGTCGTTCCAGGTATCTAAACGGCGCGGCAGTGCAGAAGCTTCATCATCAGAGGGGGAGAGAGAGAGAGAGAGAGAAAGAAAGAGAACAGTGGAAGAGAAATCAAGAGCCCAGCCCCCGCAGAAATGGCCAATGCAGCGCAATGTTACTATTGTTTCGAAACCCTGTCCGCTTCATTTGAGAACCGCGAGTCAGCCTCTCTGGCAGCCGTAGAGGCTCTCTGGGAGCAGCACGAGCAGTCTAAGAAGTTATCAGACCTCGAGGCCCGGGGGGAGGGTGCCCTTTCGGACGAGGACGCAGAAGATGACGAAGAGCCATGTCTGTCAGAGTCTGTAAATGACGACGATGACGGTGATGCAAAGCGGTTGTCCAAGAGTAATCGGCCTCCGGGCCTTAAATTACGCAGCATCAATCGTCTGCAGAATCAAATCCCCTCCGACTCATCCAGTGCGGCAACCACGCCATCTTCCGCTTCCAACACATCTTCCAATTCCCAGTTGTCTAGCTCGACCGCTATGACGACACCTGGCTCTCTGTCAGATGTTCCTGGGTCGCGAAATAAATCAACGGACCAGAAATACCCATTATTCGTGACCTGGAATACCATCTCTAGGAGCGGATCTAAGTCCCTACGCGGCTGCATAGGCACCTTCGAAGCGCAAAACCTCCCAGCGGGACTGAAGTCGTATGCAAAAACCTCGTATGTTATTACTTCTCACCGTTCACCATGCTCCTCTACACCTTTCACTTATTTTTCCCTTGTGCCAGCCAATGACCCCTCAACTAACCGTGAAAATAGGGCTTTTGAAGACACCCGCTTCGCTCCGATTCCTCGGTCTCTTCTCCCTTCGCTGTCATGCTCTTTGACCCTTCTGGGTTCGTTCGAGCCGTGTACCAATGCCATGGACTGGATTCTAGGTACCCACGGCATCCGTATCTCATTTGTCCACCGTGGCCGGCGCTATGGTGCGACGTATTTGCCCGATGTTGCTGTCGAACAAGGCTGGACAAGAGAAGAAACAATCGAAAGCTTAATGCGGAAGGCTGGGTGGGATGGCGGTGTTGGTAGCGTTGCTAGGAGACTTCTGCGAACCAATGCTGGAGGGTCAAATGCCGAGAAGCCCTGGGAACAGGTCTCGGATTTCCGGACTGTCAAGTATCAAGGACTGAAGGCGAGTGCGAGTTACGCGGACTGGCAGGAATGGCGAAAGTGGGTGTTTTCTTTGGATGATGGCCAGGAACTGCTTGGTTTAGCCTGATCTTGGGAACATCACATCTCAAGGGTTCATTTTCTTTTTACTAGATATCGTTTTGCGACATTCATGATTACGACATGCTTAGTTTGTTGGCCTAGAGCTATTATTTTCGGGAAAGCATTATGATAATGACCCAATCCAACCAACTCAATTATTTTTAAGTTGCATTCTACTTAGTTCAGAAATTTTTGACATGCGAGAATAGTAACCTGGATGATTGAAAATTTCCGAGTCATAAATCATGGTTATTTGGTCGTGGTATCTAGAGCCACCGGAAACAATCCAAGTTCCATCATAAGCAGAATATGTGTGATTTATCAACAAGACAAGATAAAGACCTGAATAGCCGTAGCAGATGTCATTTATTTGCCATGACCTCGACTCCATAGCCCGGCCACCATCTCCTTAACTCGACGCTCCTGCTCACGAATTTGTTCCTCCGTCTGGCCACGCGCATTCCCCCGGCTGTCGATCTGCATAGGACTACTGCCATCATTGGCGGTGGAGGTTTCCTGGCGCTGTTCCTCAACAACCTCATTCCCATTAACACGCTCAGGCTTGGGGTCAATACTCATTACGCCGTCCATCATGAAGCCGCCACCCTCGCGCAGCTTGTTGATAGCACGCACAGTGTCGATGGCCCGGTGCAGAGTGCGGCGTGCGTTGAAGTTCTTCTTGACAGTAGGCAGAAGATCCTCGCCAGAGCCCTTTCTCAAAGTGTCGGGGGGCGGGCTGATCCAGGGGTGCTGCAGTGCTTCATGAGCGGTCATACGACTGGCCGGGTCGATGGTCAAGCAGCGATTGATGAAGTTGCGGGCTTCTGCCGAGACACCACGCCAGTACTCAAGGGGCGTGAAGGAATAGTCCGCGGCCAAAATTGCTTGCATCTCCTCGAGGTTCGAGTCTCGATCAAAGGGTGTGTAGCCACAGAGGAGGAAGTAGGTGATTACACCAATGGCCCAAATGTCACTGCGAAGGAAGACGTTGTTGTCAGTGAAAAGACGGTGATGACTTTCGAGGATATGCTCTCAAGACTCACACTGGCTTTCCATGGCCACTCTTCTTAAAGATTTCCGGGGCCATGTAACCGGGCGTGCCACAAGTTGTTGTCAAAACATGGAATTGTTCTTCATCCATGATTCTAGATAATCCAAAATCGGCAATCAAAAGATCGGCATTATCCTCGGGGGTCCGGAAAAGTAGGTTCTCGGGCTTCAAATCACGATGCACAATACCGTGATCATGCAGATATGCGACGGCCGACAGGACCGCGCGAATGAGGTCGGCAGCATCAGACTCGTAGTAGCTGCCTTTGCGACAAATGCGATCAAAAAGTTCCCCGCCAAGAGCCAGGTCTGTCACGAGATATACTAAGGTGCGATCATGATCAGTATATATACTACTAGTAGTAATTGTAGTTGAGGGTGTAGAGGACAAAGACTCCAAGATCGCGGGCAAAAACACATACGATTGTTCATGGTCTCGAAATAGTCCACCAGCGTCAGAATATTCTGATGGCCCATCGACACTTTCTTCAGTACCGCGATCTCATTGCGGACCTATTCGTATGCCCCAATCGACATGGTCAGCCTTCAGCGCTTTCTCTACTGTACTAAAATACGATCCTTCCTACCATGTGCTCACGCCCCGCCATGAGGCGCTTGTTGATGACCTTGGCAGCATAGTAGCGACCGGTGTCGATATGGACGCACTCCTTCACGACCGAGTAGGAGCCAGCTCCTAATGTCTTCCCCGTCTTGTAGCGACAAGGCTGGACCTGTGTTCGTTGACCGCTCGGAGGTTGCGCCATGAGGTGTGGAGTGCGCGGGGGTGAGGATGCAGGTCGGAGGGGCCGGAGGGGTGGAGGAAACGAGGTTCACAAGCGCGGGAGGGCGAGTTATAGACAAATGGACGTGCTGACAAGAAGTATATATGTCTGTCGCTGGTATGTACCTGTAGTGAAAGAGAGTCAGCCTCACGCGGTGCGATGTGCCACGGGGACGCTCGCATGTGCGGCGAGTTTCAGCCCCGCCATGGTTGCGCCGGGGTACCAACAGATGGGTGATTCAGCCACTGGGAAAGTTGACAGGTGAGTGCCAGTGGAGGGGGAAAGAGAGGGAAGAAGAGAGGAGAGGAGAGAAGAGGAGAGGAGTGCAGGAGTGCAGGAGTGAAACAAGTTCGATGGGGGAAGTGTCCAGACTCCCCAAGAATCCCCAAGAGTCCCAATTATTGGGGGCCTCGGGATCGACAGATCAGGGTTAGTCAATTGCCCTGGTCTCATGAGCTATAGATACTAGTAGATACTAGAAGACTAGTACTATATTACTCGGAGACTCTTAGAATGGCTTACAGGAGAAACATCAGGTGGATTATTTAATATTTAACCTTCCAATGCTTAATGTTATTCAGTAGAAATTCATATTCAAAAGAGCCAGACAACACCGACTGCCATGCAGAACAATTAAAGATAAACCAAACCAAACCAAACCAAAGAAATAAAGGTGGAAAAAAACAGACAACTCCCCCTGATGCGCCTCGGAACATCATAAATCGACATTCAGTTAACAAATGGAAAGCGTCGGACACAAAAAGAACAAGAGACAATATCATCTACATTTGAGCAAGAACACCCTCAACAACATTATCCAGCAGTTGCAGGCTGTGGAACTTGGCTGCACTTTGCAACACCCGTAATTTCTTCTCCATCTCTTTCCGATCGACCGTCGTGGCCCACGTTCCACTGCAAGAACAGTGCTCAGAGAACTCACTCATTTTGAGACTCTTGCACTTGGAACACTTAAGATCCTGTGTCTGCCACTCGACAATAAGACCTTGCACCTGACCAATCATGACCTCCTCTTGTGCCAGGCGATCGTATTCGGTTTGACAGAAGGGACAGCGCCACGGCTTTGGCGTCTTTGCGTCCGAACCAGGATCTGGGAGCACGTCCTCGTCACGGCAGAGGTCGAGATCACGGATGAGACAGCACGCGTTACATGTGAGCTCTTGGAGTTTCAGGTTGGCACTAGGGTTTTCGAAGCGACCCTCCTTACTGAACTCACGAACTTCAAAGAGAGCAAGCAGTTCGCGGCGTAGCAGGCGAGACTCAAGGGTTGTTGTCTTGGATAGACTCAGGACTTGCATGAGTAGTTTCACCAGTTCCAACGCTGGGTTGCGCTTATGACCCTTGGGATCGTCCAGAACACCAGGAAGAACAGGGAAAGCATAATCAGACGCAAGTTCGGGGTGAAGCATCTCGTCACGCTGGCGACGAATGAGACCAGTTATTTGTTTCTTCAGAGGCTTGGAGAATCGATCTGCCAGAACAGCAGAGAGCTCCTCGCTATCCTTATCCGTAGGTTGGGTAAGGGGAATCTGCGTCAAGCGAGGAGTGGAGGATATCTCGGCATCCTGAAGGTCAGGTCGCTTCAACGTGTGCATCAGCTCGATATATTCAACAACCCAATCATGGAAAATAGTCTGCATGGGTGTTGGTAAGAACCGACTGAGTTGCCAATGCATGACAGTCTCAAGTTCTTGGTGTTCGGCTTCGACCACCTCCCGGCACCCTTTCCCACCATAGTTGTACTCATCATACCAGACTAGGTAATCCCAGTATTCCTTGATTTCGAGATCGATGAAGTGGAATGAAGGATTTCCTCGGATAGACTTCAAGACATATTGGCTGTAGGCGTAGGCGTTACCTACCTCAGTCTTAGTCGTTTGGAGAAGAAGACGAGTAGGGCTGGCGAAAATGACGTTCGAACCAACTCGTCTAAACTCGGCCATCAGCCTCTGGAAAGATTTTCGAGAAAGCAAGCGAACATAGTTGTGCAAGGAACGGTCATAAAGACACGACACTGGGCTCTCCACCCATCGAATCAAGTGTTGAACCATGATGTCGGCCATGCTATTACCGGCACACGCCTCTGTCCACCAGTGTTTGACCATTTCTCGCAACACAACAGCACCAGCAGATGCAAACGCCTTTTCGGAGTAAAGCACCCCTGAGTCATCTGCAGCGCCTCCGGAGGGAGCCAAGAGGCTATCAGTGCCACCTTCCATTTCGTTGACAATTGAGGAAGTGAGAATTGTGTTAATGGCAAGGTTGCGAATGTCCAACTCGATGCAAACCGTGGTATACGCACTTGGTGCGTTCGCAGATGGCATATTGACTTTCTCTAGTGATCCCATGACATCGTCCTTTTCATACCCAGCATGGTCTGGCAGCGGGCCATGAGACCACCAGAGAACAACGTTGCTTTTTTGAAGTCGTCGGGCATATGAGATATCGATCAAGTATCGAGGGTCGTCTGTCTCGAGGTTACAGAGAGGTACATCGCCGTAACGGGCAAGCATGGTTAGATGCTGTATCCACGCAGACAAGTATAGGTAGTGTGTGACTAGGCGCCTGGCGATGAATGACTGCCATCCAAGGGGGGGCAGATCCATGTCTGAGATTTCGGGCTTCACGGAAAGGACAGGGTATTCCTTTAGAATAGGAATGTCATGACATAGTCGGTCCCTCTGCTGGGACTGAACGACCAAAACAGCCGGCTGGCTCTCGTCGGCTCGAAACTTCTTGACCAAATCTCCAACTTCCAGATATGCCTTCCTCCTGGTCATTACTTGAGTTGTCTTGAAATGAATCTTGTCCTGATACTCGAAGGCATTCAATGACTGATCCCCGGTGGCGTCTTGCAGCTTCCGAGTGAGCAGTTCCGAGTATATTTTATCAACGTTTGGAAGGCCTTGAACATCCCTGGTGCGATTGAGAATGATGATATGTGCCTCCTTCTTGGTTGTTGAAAAGAGGGCAAAGACCTGTCTATCCCCAGAGGCAACGTGGTACAGGTAATGATATGCCAAGGGCGAGTTCAGCAAGTAAGGCTGATCGGAGGAAGCATGAAGCAGGTTGGAGAGATCAAATCCACGGTCCAGACCATCACCCAGTACACCACGCTGCTCTTCATCGAAGGTGCAATGACTTCCCAGTTTGAGCACTGCTCGAATACTGGCAGGAATATTTCGCTCGTAGACGCCCTCGATGCTGGGATGCTGGAACAAAGCATCCATTTTGTCTGCCTCTTCTAGGAACACATCCTCAGATAAAGATAACTTAAACAGATGGACCGAGGGATGACCGTTCGGTAAAGTGTGGTTGACCTTTTCAACTTCACAGTCGGGAACCTCAATATCAGGAAGGGATTCACGTTTCAGATTCACAAAGAATTGCCGAGGGACCTTCACGTTGAGTGCTTGTATTTTCTGATCAATGAGTACGAAGGCCCGAACAATTCCCGGCCGGTCAGTCTCGCAGAGCTGAAGGACTTGCCAAGTACTGATGTATAACATCTGGGCCTGGTTTCGGAAGAAGGTGCTCAATGAGTCGGAGGCAGCACTGGGCCGCTCACCGAAAAGCTGGCGACGGCGAATGCGGGCTTGCTTCTGGATCTTCCACTTCTGTTTCTGGTATTTGAGGAACCCTTCATAGTCGTCAGATATAGACGGCATGACGGCGGGAAGGCTGGCGAAAGGGTCAAGGGATGTTTTAGGGATCCCTTCAGGATGTTTCCTTTTCTGTGACACTTTTGCCTCGGGGGATGCTATAAGCTTCTGGGTTGACTGTGCGATAGCTTCATCCATGTCCCCGACATGTTGAACTCGATGGTCCAAGATATTGGTAGATAAGCTTGAAAGTGGGGCTTTATCCGACTTGACAAATAGGTCGGTCATCTTCTTTTGCTTAAATTTATCGTCCTTGATGTTGATTCGGCGTTGCAACCAATCGGGATGGGCAACACGAGGCACCGGATTGCGTAGCTTTTGAAGAGCAGCCGGAATTGTGATAAGTTTTTGCACCACCGAGCCCAGACGCTCAATGTAGTAGTTCCAGTCGATGATATTCCGAGGATCCATGTCGCCAGGGTCATCCTTGAGCCACTTTCGCAGGAAGAATCGTTTGACATTCTCCTCCGCTGAGAAGATGGTGACTGGAATGGCTCTTTCCGTGACGGGCGTGTTTCTTGGCCTTGCAGAGATAATGTACTTGCAGTTCAGACCCTTATCCTTCACCATCTGTTCTCCCAGGAATTCCGCTAAACGTTTGGCTGTCGTGATGGATGTTGATTTCTGATTGCCGTACTCCTCCAGGGGTTTCGTCATGCTTCGGTTTTCCGAAATGAGGTCAATTAACTCCTCATCAGCCAATGTCGCACCATGCTCATAAAGCACGTCCAACCACCGATCGGCGACCCGAGAGACTGCAGCATAAGTCTCCGCAAGGTTGCTTCCCTCCAGAAAGAACTTGAAGATCTGGGTCTGGAAAATCTTGATCAATTTCAACTCTCCTCTCCGCTTGACCTCGAAACCTTTCAATTCAGCTAGGGAACCGTCGTGGTTGAAGACGGCGTATCGCTTCTTCAAGTTCTTATCCTCCTCCTTTGAAGTTGGCAGAATCATGGCCCTGTAGGGTCCGTCGACTTCGAAGAAGATAGAGTTCTCGCTGTAGGTTTCGTATTTGTGGGTGGATGTGTCAACAAGAGCTTGATACTGGTGATTGGTGTATTTTGCGTGAACAAGGTGGTTCAGCATGACACAAGGATACGAAATGCCGAGCTTCTTCCCATTTTTGAGCGTGAAGGAAAAGTTTTCGGGGAAACTTCCCGGAAGCATGCACCAAATGCCATCCGTATCCAATTCCAAGGGTCGGCCTATGCGCTCAACGAGCTCCCGTGCCATCTGAATAATATGGGCACCTGTCAGGCAAGTAACACCGGCCATTTCCATGGAATACCATCGAGAACCCTTTCGCATGACATAACCGTAGAAACTGTTCAGAATAACCTTATGGGCGAGTTGTAGAGAGTCGAACAAGATAATCATCTTCTTAGCTTCGTCGATCTCAGCCGCAGAGGCACCGGAAGATACCAAAGAGTCAGTTTTGTTCTTCCAGACCTTCTGTTGGCCTTTGAAATCATAACGTCGATCACGGAAGCTGCGCACCGTATCGACGTAGAAGGGATTTTCTCGCTGGCAAATGATAGCTTCTCGAACCATGGTCTTGCTGTCGTGGATCTTGTGGTAGATCTTCTTGCTGTAGTCTTGTAGCCGTTTTTTCACGATACCCGCTTGTTCCTCAATGCTGAGTTCGCCGAAGGACCGCATCAGCCCGTTCTTGTTTCGGCTGGGGAATCTTTCATTCCCTATCGCACGTTTGATCATGTTGTACTCGTCGCGTTTGGCTGGCAAGAATTCGCCGCGCCAGGCCCACGGCATTCGTCGATCGCAAGTTTTTCCAGGGCGATTGAAATCGCAAGCTGCACAGTTTGAGTCGTCGATCATGGAATCCGGTTGCAAACGGTTGGTAATCATGATGTTTGGATACATGGAAGCGACATCCAAATGATAAATGAAAGGCACTTCGTTTCGAACGGGGTTGTTCCTTAGTTCGAGAAGTTTCTCTGCGATTTGAGCCTTGACTTCATCGAAATTTGCAACATCTTCCATGGACTTCTTTTCTTCAACTTCAATACTGAACTTGAGTGCATGGTCAAGATCATTCAGAAGCTCATCAATGGCTGCTGGATCGATATTGAAAGCAACGGGAATATCACTTCGAAAAACGCCGGCCTCAATACTTTCGACATGTCCACCCACATATGTTTGTGATTCGAGCAAGTGACCTTCGTAGAAAGACTCATGGGGGTCTTTGTGCTTGTTGGGAAGAACAATCTCGTTCTGGTAGGCTTGTACCATGAGCAGCATCTCACACAAAGTTCCAGTTCCCTTGCGAAGGGTGTCATCAGGATTAAGAGGAATCACGGTGCACAGGGAGAAAATGAAAGGATGCACATATTTCATGTACAGGTAGTATGTTGCAACAGCATCGGAAACGGAATATTCGGCAAGAGTTTGGGGCCGCTCGCTTGCATAGGGGGTCATGAGTTCTGGATCGAGTTCGTCTGGATCGTATCCAAGTTTCGCGACTGTCACGGCCTTCAAGCCACGGCTTCCTTGGGGAAGATAACTGTCACGATTGACCCATGCGAAACAATCCATGTGAACACAGTTGTCAGCCTGGTAGATGTCTTCGCTGTTCTTCCTGAACCCGATCTCCATGTACATATCGATTCCATTGACACTGGATCTCGCTTCGACGAACGGCCAATCGAAAAAGTCACCGTTGTAAGTGGCAATGACGGTGGGTTTGGCGATCTTGATATGCTCAAAGAAACGCTCCAATACGCCTCTCTCATTTGGCTCGTTGAAGATGATGAAGGGGCCACTGTATTCTGGTTTCGGCGTGTACTCGAAATCATTGATGTCCTCGGAGACGATTTCTCGGTTTGTGATGAGGAACCCTTGCCCATCAATCATGTATGAAATCATCATGATTTGATCAATTACGGCGTCGGGGAATTTGAGGGGGAGCTTGGTGGTTTCGATATCAAAGGCGAGGACAACAGGATCCGCACGCTGAAGTCGTTCTTCCAGACAGGTCAATTCTATCACACCGTGCTTTGCTTCAACATTATACCACTTTCCAATTCGAATGTCTGCAATGCGTTAGTCAATTCATAGGCACGCAATGGACGAAGCAGGATCACAAACTCTTGTCGATTGACACTCGAACGTGGTACGGAACATCGTATTCTCTGATATCAACTATAAAATCACTCGCTTGTATGTTGCCGTTAGGTCGTTGCTCATTAAGTATTTCGTCGTCAAAAAGGTCGAAGCCTGTAGCCGCACTTTCGAAATTGTCAGCAAAAAGTGTACTTTTTTCATACCGAGGTACAATCCCATACCTGGACATCTCGACATATGCGTCCATCATTGTGGAGTTCTTCTTATTCTTCTCCGCTAGTGGAAGAATTGCTCTCCGAACCTCCAGTAGGTTGCCGACATTAGCAAAGTTCAATCGGATGAAAGTCCTTCGGTGGCCGAGAAGGTGGTTGGGGAGGTTCAGATCCTCCTTGTCGATGCGCTTGAAGCTCTTGATCAATCCCTCAAAAGATCTCCGGCACCACTCCTCGACTTCCATCTCAAAGCCTTTTTTGACCGCAAGAAGGAAGTACGGGTCATATTCCACGGTGGCTTTGAAACTACCCCCATCATCTTGAAGAAAGTAATAATCGACACCAGCACGACCTCCCTGCACATTTGAATCCTCTATCGTCGTGCTGTGCATGTTGATAAGCCATCCTGCTCTTGTCTCGCCGGATTCGAATCGTGGGAAGCCGAGGGTTTCATCGATACTGTTGGCCAAACGGATGGCCTCGAATTTCTCATCTTGTGAAGTTGCTTCGGTAGATCGTAGGGCTCCGAATTCGACAGTCTTGGTTCGCTTAGGATTCGAGGAGGCTGCGCCTGATCGAAACTTATTGTTCCCATACTTGCTGGGCTTTCGGGTAGGCATTGCGACCCTTTTCTTTTTTTTTGCCCGGCCGGGCTTCTCAAAGTAGGACTGGCAGGGGGAAGGGCGTCAAGGGCATGGAAAATTCGGTAACAATTCGAGAGAAGAAATCGGGGATCGGAGGATTGAGAAGACGTGGGGTGACAGGGTTGGAGAGAGTCGTGTTGCTATGGCCGATATGCCTTTGCGCTCGCCAGTCCGGTCGATCTTAATCGCCATTAGTACTCGACGCGTCTGCGCGCCGGCGCCCTACGCGTGTGTGTTAGTCATCCACCGGAATAACTATCCAAAAGGGGGTCGCCCATCGGAATATCTTCAACTTATGCCCGGCCGATTTCATGGGCCGATTCCAGTCGGAGGTCAATCTACAAATCTACTGCCCACCCCGCAAAGATGGCAGACGATTCTAGGGAGTCCGGTTCTGTACAAGAGCCCGGCAGCCACCTCCCAGCCAGCACCCCCCTCCACCGATCCGAAGAAACCAAAACACGAATTCCCCCAGTCACAAGTCGGAAAGTTATGGGACGCCTTTGGCAACCCCGAGGAACCTCTCAATGCGCTCGCAAATGCGTCATATAAACCACCGGGAAAGAACCGTCAAGATGTCTCCTACTCAGAAGTTATCGGCACATTCTCGGCTTCTGAGCTTTCGACCTTCCACAGAGTCCCATGTGCCCGAGAGTCATTATTGACTGGAATTGGAGCTGGCTTTGGAATTGGTGGGATGCGAGCTGTATTCGGCGGTACGACCATTCGTGATCAACGCACGGTTTCTGAATGATTAACTAATATTCATATCTAGGGATGCGTTCGTTGTGGTCGGCCGGCAATTGGGCCGTCGGAATATTCGCCATCAGCTCTCTCGCTTCCTATGAGATATGTCGGCGGCGCCGAATCGAAGAGCTGCACGGCATGACAGAAGCGGTCGGATTGATGAAACAAGTCAAGGAAAAGAAGCAGCAGGAAAAGGAAATGGCCGCCGCAGCGGCAGCGCAACGCGCCGAGGAAGAAAGACGCAAGAAGAGTTGGACGAACCTTTCCAACTACAAATTCTGGTAGGGCTATCCAAGTCTCGAGTTGGAGAAAAAGTGACGTTGTCTGGATATGTTCAGAAGACAATATATTTCATTCCTGTGCTAGGGTGGTTGGCGTCATGTCGTCAAGTCATCTCTGTGTATTATAACTCTCAAATGTCCATATTGCTGGCGAAATCAATAGATCATGCAAAAAATCTACTCCCTTAACACCAAAATCGACTGGCCCGACGTAATGCGACCCCCAAAATATAAATGCGAACTGGCTGTAGATAAATAGATAAATGGCAGATAAGATGGTATTTGTTTCCAGCTCATACGTCAAATTTGACTCGTTTCTGAATGGCGCCTTTGTGTATGCTCCGAATTGTGTCGAGATTCATGTCGTCATTCCTCCTTTCTCGTCGCTTTTCGCGTGCCTCCCGAGCTTCACGGGTTTTCCATTCAGAAACCTGCTTTTGTCGTTTTTGGGAACGCGCCCAAGCCATAGCTGCTGTTGGTTTAAATCCAACTCCGTTGATTCCGTAACCATCGTCAGTCGGATCTGACGGGTCGTGACCAGTGATTTCATCATCATGCCATGTGAACGGGTCTTCCAAGTTGGCGTCTGCAAGTGGAGGGGAGAACCGTTGTTTGCGAGAATTCGAAGGCGAGCCATGCCCTTGCTGCTTGCTGGGTGATGGCGTAGGTCTTTTCTTTGAAGGTGACTTTGTGGGTGTAGTCGGCAGCTTGTCCTCTGTATCTGATATAGTTACTGGAAGCTGTTGGTGGTCTTGTATATGGTTGGATTCGTCGCTGGTGGGTGGCAAGCCTTCATGCATAGTCTTCGGCTCGTTTTGACACCTCACAACGCATGGCTCCTCAGCTAACAGCTTGTTCTGTTCTTCTTTCTCTTGGATCGGATTGCCTGGTGGCACTTGGCCCAACAGACGCTCCCCCCGAATCGCCAGTTTTCCGAATCGCCCCGCCACTGCGGCGCGAGGACTTTGTCGCCCCAGCTCGGAATCCTCGCGTAGTCGAGCCTCCTGGAAGCTCGCAACCGAAACCGTTGACGTTGGTGAAGCCGATGGACTGTAGAAATCTGACTCGGAGGGCTCTCGCTTGCGCTTAGGCGAGTAGTAACTAGGGATTTCCGCCGGCATCATCGCGGGGTTTAGCTTAGGGTGGACAGGATTGTGGGGGCTTCGCAACGAATCAACCCTAAGGATATCTTATATATGAAGGCAGACTGTCTACCCAGGCCCCATTTACCGATTAGTGAGGGCTGGGAGGGTCCATGGCACAGAAATGTTCATCAAGAGTGCGGAGAGAGTAAGGAGGGGCAGAGCCATTGGACGCTCGGGCTGGTTCTGCGATGCGGGAGCCAATCCAGTGATGCTGTAACTTTGGACCTTTAGACTGGCGGTGCGATCCTTGGGTCAGGGGAAAAGAGAATTCTCCAATTAATACAAGGCAGACAGTATTCGGGTTCTTCAAATGGTAACAGATTTATATTATCAGATAAAAGATCACGAGATAGAGCAAATCTTATTGCCGTGTAGAATGGCCTAAATCGAATAATTTACAGATCCCCGAGCCCATCGAGTCGTGAACAAGATCAAACATAGAAAGAAAAACCTAACGCCATGACAAAAGACTCCCAGTTTCAAGAAAAGCGCTTTTAAGACTTGTGCTTCTTCTTCGAAGATTCTCCATCATCACCGTGCTTGCGCTTCTTCTTCTTCTCGGACTCACCCTCGCCGACATCCGACTTGCGCTTCTTCTTCTTCTCGCTCTTGTCAGTCTTGTCGCTCTTCTCCTTCTTTTCCTTCTTCTCCTTCTTCTCCTTCTTTTCCTTCTTGTCGGCATCCTCCATCTCCTCGTCACTGCCATCAACGTCAACGTCAATGCCAGCAAGGACGGCATCCATGGCAGATTTCTGCGATATCGGGTTAGCATTCAATCTACAGAGTTCAAATTTTGACAGTCTAGACATACCATGGCAACCTCGTTCTTGGTGGGGGCAGCACCAGTGGAGTAGAAATCCAGACGCTCCTCAACTTGCTGCTTAAGAACCTCACCAAACTTAGTGGTCGGGGCCTCGGAGAAGTTGTCGATACGAGAAGCGATAGAGCACTTGTTGGCGAGGAATCGAGAGATACGACCCTTGTTCTTGGGACCGGCGCGTCCAATGAAGGAAGAGTGGTACAGCAAACCATACTTGGGGGTGTTACCCTTGGTCTTCAGAGCACGGAAAAGAGCCTTCTCGGCACCGAGAATCTGGACGGTGGAGGCAGGGTACTTGGACAGATTGGTCAAGCTACCAGCGTGGGAGATCAGACGGGCACCGATGACCTCACCGATCAGCGCAGCCAGGTTGGGGGCGACCACGCTCATCTTGGAGACCAGGTATTGGTAAAGCTCCTTGCGGTACTTGGCAAGGCTGACAACACGTTCGGCAAAGGCAATGACATTCTCCATGTCGGATTCACCGATCTCCTGACCCATACTGTGCTTGGCGGCATCGATGACGCTCTGGGCAACATCCTTGTCGTCCTCCACGAGAGCGGCAATATCGTGCAGGTGCTCATCATTCAGGTTCTTCTTGTCCTTCACGAAGAGCGCAATCTGGGCGTAGCGCTGGTTGTCCGAAACAATCTTGTACAGTTCAGGGAAATGCCAAGAGTACCACTCACGAACACGCATGGAGAAGGTGTTGATGGCCTTGTCAAGTTGGTCAAGGATGGCGATGGCCTGAATGATGTGGTTGTCGTCACGCTGGACAGAGAACTTGACCTTGGCGCGAGAGTAGGCGTGACCCAAACCAAGTTGGGCGGTATCCATATCGCCCTCACGGAGCTGGTTCAACAGCTTGGTGAAGTGAAGACGAATACCACGGAGAAGATCCTGGACAACCTCGCTGGTGTCACCAGTTTCACACTCCACGAAGGAGAAGGCGGACTTGATGCTACCGGCGAGACCCTTGTCGCAAAGGCCGAGAGTGACCTTGCCCTTCTTGTTGGGCTTGGGGAGGTTCAGTTCGAGGAAAGAAACCAGAGCCTCTGAGGCGACACCTTCAGAGATATCGTTGATTTCACCGAGGGCCTGCTTGTTGTTTCTGGGGACGTTAGTAAAATGATTTTTGTCGGATGGAAAATTCACATCCTAGGGTCTCGGCGCGCCAAACGTACTCGAAAGGCAGGAAACTAGCCAGCTCAACCATCTTGCCGAACTTGGCAAGGTCGTTGACACCAGACTGAACCTCCTTCAGGCTGTTGCCCACAATATCGCCCTTCATGGTATTCTTGAAGAGCGAGTAGCCCATAGGGCTCTCGAAGAGAAGATAGTCGGCCATTGTATTAATCCAGGGCCCAGGTCGAGCGCAAAATTTGACCGTAGGATGTTTTCAGCGACGGACGCCCAGGAAGAATCACTATTGCGATCTGGGGTGGATTGGTGGGACGGGCGTTTTTCGTTAGGGCGGAAAGGCCTTTCAGAGATGAAGTTCGAAATCCGAGAGGGAGCTCTTTTTTTTCGCCGCTAGTGCGAATCGGTCGTGTGGGCTTTTTGCCAAAATTCACCCTCACCGCCCTTGTCCTCGCCGACCAACGCGGGCATCCAAACTCCTGTGTGCCAACCAGCTCCCCCTATACCTTTATCTGTTTTTTTTTCTTGGATTGAGCTCCTGTTCACTCCTTTTTATCTACAGATATGTCGGCAACTCAGCTGCTGAACCCCAAGGCCGAGTCCCGGGTATGCATTGATGCCCCCTCTACCAGACTGACCCCTCAATGGCCCGCACTAACATTTCATCTAGCGGAGAGGAGAGGCCCTGAAGGTCAACATTGCCGCCGGAGAGGGTCTTCAAGATGTTCTCAAATCGAACCTGGGTCCCTCAGGTACTCTGAAGATGTCAGTAAAATTCCCTGTTGCGAAAAGCGACCGCAATAAAGCTAACAAGATTTCTAGGCTGGTCGACGGTTCAGGCGGAGTACGCACGATATCCCCTTCCCTTCATAACCCTTCATTGCGGTCATTCTAACCCGGAACCTCTCTAAATAGATCAAATTGACTAAGGATGGAAATGTTTTGCTGCGTGAAATGGTTCGTCGAGATCTTTATGAATCCCCCACAAGGCCACGCCGAATACTGTTGCTAACATTTTGCAGCAAATCCAAAACCCCACAGCTGTAAGACGACATTGCCTCGAACGACCCCTCGATTCTCGCTGATAAATTTGAAAGGTCATGATTGCTCGTGCGGCGACAGCACAAGATGATATCACTGGTGATGGCACAACGTCGGTTGTGCTCCTGGTGGGAGAGCTCCTGAAACAGGCGGATCGTCATATCACGGAGGGACTACACCCCCGAGTGATCACTGATGGTTATGAGATTGCCAAGGATGAGACCTTGAAGGTATTCACCTAACCCAGAGAGGCGCGATTGGTACTCAAATCTAACTCTTTGACTCCCCCAGTTCCTTGACCAATTCAAGCTCGAGCGTCCCATCGACCGCGAGCTGCTCCTTTCCGTCGCTCGTACTTCCCTTTCCACCAAGCTGAACCATGCCATGGCTGAGAAGCTCACCCCTGATATCGTTGACGCCGTTCTCGCCATCCACCGAGCCCCCGAAAAGCCTGACTTGCACATGGTTGAGATCATGACAATGCAACACCGCACATCATCCGAAACCCGCCTGATCCGCGGTCTGGCTCTGGATCACGGTGCCCGTCACCCGGATATGCCCAAGCGTGTGGAGAATGCTTTCATCCTGACATTGAACGTCAGTCTTGAGTACGAGAAGTCCGAGATCAACTCCGGCTTTTACTACTCTTCTGCCGAGCAGAGAGATAAGCTGGTGGAGAGCGAGCGCAAGTTCGTCGATGCTAAGCTGCAGAAGATCGTGGAGCTCAAGAAGCAGGTTTGCGGCAATGACCCCAAGAAGGGCTTCGTTGTCATCAACCAGAAGGGTATTGACCCCTTGAGCTTGGACGTCCTAGTCAAGAACGGTATCATGGCTCTCCGAAGAGCCAAGCGCAGAAACATGGAGCGTCTGCAGCTGGTGTGTGGAGGTACCGCGCAGAACAGCGTTGAGGAAATGACCCCGGATGTGCTTGGCTGGGCAGGTCTGGTTTACGAGCACCAGCTTGGTGAGGAGAAGTTCACATTTGTCGAGGAGGTCAAGGATCCCAAGTCCGTGACTATTCTCATCAAAGGCCCCAACCAACACACCATTGCTCAAGTCAAGGATGCCGTGCGTGATGGTCTTCGCTCTGTCTACAACTCGATTGTTGACGGTTGTGTCATCCCCGGAGCCGGTGCCTTCCAGGTTGCTTGTGCTGACCACCTGAAGTCGGAGGTCCTTCGCAACACCAAGGGCAAGGCCAAGTGGGGCGTTGAGGCATTTGCCGATGCGCTTTTGGTCATTCCTAAGACTCTAGCTGCCAACGCCGGCCACGATATCCAGGACTCTCTCGCTGCCATGCAGTACGAGCGCAAGGATGGTAACATTGTCGGTCTGGACTTGAACACTGGCGAGCCGATGGATCCCGTGCAAGAGGGTGTCTTCGACTCCTACCGGGTGCTTCGTAACTGCATCGCTTCCAGCACTGGTATCGCGTCTAACCTTCTTCTGTGCGATGAACTGCTGAAGGCTCGCCAGATGAGCAAGGCTAGTGGCCCTGGTGGTGAGGAGTAATGCATTTGATGAAGATACTCGGTGATTTCATGTAAAGAATTAGATGTACCGGGCTTGATGGTTTGGGGGGTTTCAAGATTCTAGTCCACAAAAAATGCACACAATAATTTTCACACGAGACACTGGGGGCTTCCAGTACGTTTATTGTCATAGAGAAAGAAACCATCGAGGTAGTGAATGTCTGATCAGGTTGATTCCGGCGGCATATGATACTATACAGTTCGAAGATCGTAGCGCACGTAGCGCACGTAGATCATTATTATCGTCATCGCTAAAAGGACTATTATTACATTACATGGCAACTATCACCCGTCTGCCTCTGAACTGCTTTCAATCTGATCAGAGATAGCCATAGGCAGCCATTCTCCCAGAAAGCCCTCCTCTTTCACCGGATCCTCCAAAGAAAGGTGGTTGATATTCGCCCATTCCTTCACGTCTGACTTGCGGATGACCATTGTGGGGCCTTTATCAGGTTCATCATCTCCGGTCAGTCGAGGTAGTTTTCGTTTCTTAGGAGATGTGTCGGGCTGAAGAACACCCATGAACTTGACCGCCGTGACCACATCTTCGGTCAACATTCCGGTAGCGAGGCCGATGTCCTCGATGGTCATCATCTCCCGTGGAGGATTCTTTTGAGAGGATTTCGAGGTACTGGGTTTCCGAGGGGAGTTTTCAAGTTTATTGTCGGGACGCTCCCCACAAAGCAAGTACCTTGCAATTCGCTCGGCCCAGAAACGATTATAACTCTTCTGTCCTAGGTCGCTGAGAGGCTTCTCTGGCCCACCAATATATCCACCGGGAGATTCCCAACCACTGAGCTTGTAGCTCACTCCCATTAACAACTTCCCAAGCTGCTTATGTTGATATGGCGGAAAGACACAAATACAAGCGAGGTTGTTGGCATCCCACGAGAGCTTTTCTCGGGAGTAGAAACCGAGAACATGGTAGTTTTCCGAGTTTGTTGGGTCGGTGAAGGTGAGGATATAGTAAAGAAAAGTCGCTACATCAAAAAAGACGGTCTTGTGGTCGAGAAATAATTTGGCAAATAGCGACAGGTTTTGTCCGAATAGTTTGTGTTCTTCTCCATCAACTTCCCAAACGGCGTAACCGCCGTATTCATATACTTTGTTTCCTGGTGGCGTTATGCGGTGTACACACGCTCGTGTGTGTTCGGCAAAAGCGACTGTCTCGCATGAATATCTAAAACACCAGCGGCATACGTATAGGCAATCGGCGTCCTTGGCAACAAGGTCTTCCGGGTATATGGACTGGTACCACGGCGTGAAAAGAAGATCTCCCAGCACAACATTCTTCACATTTCGGTCGCCTGGACTCTGAAGACGCGATGGGGGCTTAGCGGTGGCCATTGACGCGCGTCAATATAAAGTGTTTGCGAGGTGCACGTCTCCCGGCTTCACGTAGTCCTCTTGATGAAGGTAGAGTTCAAAACATCAGGCCATTGGCGTCACCGCGTGGGCAATTGGTTGGAGAGGTAGGGCCGCACCAACATTGGCGACTATGTGGGCATTGGAGCAAGTGGCGGGATACGGGATAACGAGGGTGGTGCAGGGAAGCTTGAGATGAACAATACCCATTTTGGTCATAAAGGTAACCTTGACGCGTGTCATGTGACCCGGTGGGGCCTGTCTCTATGGCTGCCTGGAATTTGGATGTACCAACGACGTAAGAGAGAAGGTACCTAAAGGTTACTGCTCTCCCTGAGCCTGCATCCTTCCATTTACATCTTCTTGCCTCCCAGTCCAAACTATTGCAGGCAACAGCAATAAGTATCTCATGATATTTGACGTTGAAACCTCTTTCTCTCGTGGTTCCCCAAATCATTTGGGAATCATCACAACTTCCCGCTTCTAGCCAAACTGCGAGAACCGCCCCCACCCGGCTTTTACCCCGGGCCTGTCAGGGTCCCCTCTCACCACGATGTTGAAGCCCTTCCAGATCAGAAATCTCCACGGATCTTCATCCCGAGATCAGGAGGAGCACTCAAACCGCCCCAACGGCGCGGTTCAGATCTCAGCTGTCGACTATGATCACCTCGCCTCAACCCATCCCCGAGCAAGACTTAATTATCTTGACGATGATGATGGTGACAATATCGAGGTAAGATATTATTCTCCTTAAATCTTGCTCTCTTCTTCTACTCACATACATACTGCTTATAGGTCGGATCCTCACTAGAACTGTCCCAGCGTCTTGATGAGCCCGTTAAGACCGAAGCAATCCAAATCTCCAGAGATGAGCCAACACCGATGCACCTCTTTGATATTCGCCGATCCAACTCGATCACCGAGCTATGGAAGCGATTCGAGAAGCAAGCTTCCGACACCTCCGAGACAGGTGAAGTAAAAAACAGCGTCGTTACTACCGCAGAATATTCGAATGATAAGTCTGCCAACGACCAAGCGCCAGCTACCTTGAACACTACGTCCGTTTTCACATCCGGTGAAAATCCTCTTTTGAGTGGATATAAGGCCGAGCTTGCAAATCTAGCCAACCATGCCAGTCCATACCTGCCGAAGGGCTCGCAGCCAACGTCCTCAACCGAAACTGGGCCAAATGCGCCCAATGTTGCTAGAGAGGAATCGCCGCCGCTCATGGCAGCATTCGAGGCCGAATTGGCGAGCCTAATGAACTCTGCAGAGGACTCTACAACAAGGGGTCGGCAGACAGCGTCATCGCCCCAGCCAGATCAAGGTGCAGACTCGAGCTCGCAAGGAACTCCTCACCCTGTCGAGATCCTTGCAGCTCAAGTCCTCAGCCATCTAGCAAATGGCGCTAATATGGTCCAATCTGAGTTCGCCGCCAGGTTGCCAGAAATTCAGCGTCAGCTAAATGATGCACGGGAACAGTTACGAGATGCGCAGAGAACTCTACCCGAGAATGTCAGAATGTCGCTGCATACTCTTCTCTCCACGATTGAAGCTCGAATGAAAATCGTACTAGGTAATCTGCCTACGGGAGGGCGTCAATTTGCAGAAGAAGCATTACACGCCGGAAGGCCCGTGGCTGAGAACGCTGCAGATGGATTCCGCACGATGGCCTCTGATTTTAATGAGTTCGGAAAATCATTGTATGCAGCGTTCGAAGAGGAATTTGGACGAGCTGTCTTTGCACCCGCAAGTACGGGTCCTAGTGCGCCTAACACCACTGGTACTGCGGCCTCTGGTTCTGCAGATGATTGTCCTCCTTCGTCAGAAACCACCTCTCACAACGCTGAAACCCAGCCCTTGGATTCGAAAAGAGATGTCCCAGTTACTAGTCACACTCCGGTGTTCACTGGCGAAAATATGAATGCTTCTGCCGTGCCATCGGGGCCTGAGAATCTCGACCAAGGCGCCCAAGCGGGTAGTCACTTTCCATATCCTCCCCCGTTATCATCGAGGCCCTCATGCCCATATAAGACCTCCGCATTCCCGAAACCTACCCCAATGGGTTGGTCCATCCCCACCCCAAGCCCATTGGGGATACCCCCCGCCTCCCGCCTTCTGGCCATCTTTAGGTCCTTTGCCATGGAACCTCCCTCCTACCCGCCATAGTCACCACCATCCAGTACCTCCGCCCCATCCTCGCCCACCTCCTCCACCACCATACCCAGGTCGATGGCCTGTTCCTGGTTCCTTTGGTCATCTGTTCACCACACCACACAACCATCACAACCAAAACCATCCGCCATCTGCGGCTACCACTGAAGTCCCTTCAAGGGGTGCTGATCCGCAGCCGGGAGGCGAGAATAAGACATTGTTCATTGGGAATGTCGGTTTCAATGTGTCAGAAAAAATGATATCCGATGTCTTCGCTTCGAAGGGCTTTATTGTGAGCGTTGACCTTCCGTTGGATGCCACTTCGGGTAAACACGCGGGCTTTGGATACTTGCATTTCCCATCAAAGTATCCAGCCATTGCTGCAATAGATGCACTTCAGGGCGAACGTATTGATGGCTATGCCATCAATCTCGAGTTCAGCGAGAACACACCCATCGAAAACGTCCTCGCATCATCCAACTTGAACTCCAATGGAACTCCCCATGACGGTGGGCAAGGCGGCTCCAAGCAAGTCAACTCCAGCTCTCTTCCTCGGCCGGATAGCTCCATCAAGCGGCGGAAGTCTGTTTCTTTCAAAGAGCCATCTTTACAAATGAAAAAGGCTGACAATATTCACTCGTCGAGTCTTCCCCCTCGAGTTGGATCGCCTCAGCTGATTGATCTATCGTTTGAAGGCACTTCTGGCTCCGCTTGCGACTCCTCGCGCCAGGTTAAGGATGATCCAGAACATAAACAAGCAAATGAAGATGAGTCTTTTTCGAATTTCAATCCCGAGAAGGAAATGAGTCGATTCCCGCCTGTTTCCCAGTTAGAAGCACAACTTCTCGCAAAGCATAACCAGGATCGTGCCACTCCCGCGAGTACACACAGTGATCCAACCCTAGAATTCCCTCTGCGGCGATCACAGACTACCTCTAGTGTTCGTGGGACACGTCCCCTTGTCCACCCTTCCCTAGAAGAGACGAGATATGACGCTGGCCAACCGAATCCTTCTGCTGCGACGGGACCATCTCTTCGTCGTTCGAGCACCATGGTGTTCCCGCACGCCAGCCTCCATAATCCTGTTTCCTCAGATGATACGGCCTATCCCAGACTGAAACGACACGCATCCGAGCGGCATAGCCTTCGATCGAGTGCCGAAACAGATACCTGGGCACGACTTGACAGAAGAGAACGCCGCCGCTCGAGGCCGTCGTCCGAGCACAGCATTCCCGGCAGCTTCCCTGTCGAGGAAACAGCTCAACCTTCGACTAATAATGAACCCGAAGGCCTCAATGCATCTGAAATCGAGGCTTGCGTCTCCTCTCTTATCGATATGGGCTATGGCACTGCCGAAGAGGGTGGGCGATCTCGGATGGCAGTGTATGCTGCTGCATCAAACGGCAGTCTTCTAGATGCCATTGAGATGATCGAGGAGGAGAGAAAGGTGTATGCGAAACACGACCAGATTTGAGTTAGAAACTGCACACACACACACACTCTCTCTCTCTCTCTCTCTCTCTCTCTCTCTCTCTCTTTTTGTTCTCTTTGCTCCCGACCGAGTCGCTCTTTTCGCTCCTGAAGCCTTTTCAAATTTTCTACGCTTTATGACACCAAGCTTCTTTTACAGACCCTAATTTGTTGCGAATTTCAAGCTTAGCCAATCTCAACTTTGATTTATTTGAAGCCCATGGATCAGATTCGTATTCATCCCGAGCCTTGTAGCAGCCCATCGCCATCTAGATAATGGTCACTCACTACCCTAGGGTAGCTCCCTTGTCCACATTGTAAGGCGGCTGCTGCGGAGTTGAGAGGCGGATCCACCCTGCTGCCCCGTCATTTTTCCAGCCCGCAACCTCCGATCAATCAAATCACCCTTCCAACACCATCGCAACACCATCCCAGCCATGCAAACATGGCGGCGGACCTTCGCCACATCTGTCGCAAGACTAGGCTCAAGTACAACGCCTAGTTCACGTCCGGCTATCCTTCGATGCGCACAGATCCTCCAGAGCAACAAGCAAGGCCAGCCCTGCAGCTTGGAGGACCAGGAGATCAAAGTCAATGGATTCATTCGGTCCGTTCGCAAACAGAAGCGCTTTGCTTTTGCGGAAATTTCCGATGGATCGACTATCCAGCCATTGCAGGCAATCTTAAAACCAGCGCAGGCAGCTGAGTATGTCAATCCGCGAGAGCTATGACTCGCTGCCATCTTCGCGTTGGGAACGAGGTCTAACACGGTCGCGTTTCTCTACACTCTAGCTTATCCACCGGTACTGCAGTTCAAATATCAGGTATATGGAAGGCCTGCCCACCTGGAAAGGAGCAGACCCATGAGCTCCAAACAACCGGTGTGACCGTGGTCGGCGCGTCGGATCCAGAGGTACGAACTCGACCCCACACACGACGAACTACATTCTAACCGCGATGTCTCTTTCCACAGACCTTTCCGATCCAGAAGAAATACCACAGTCCCGATTTCCTGAGACAGATTCCCCATCTTCGCATCCGAACACCATTTCAATCATTGCTCTCGAGATTCCGTTCAGAGTGCCTATTCCAAATCGGCAACGTCTTCCACTCCTTTCCCAATGGCGGCTTTTCTCAAGTACAACCTCCCATAATTACGTCTTCGGATTGTGAAGGAGCAGGAGAAACATTCACACTCGCCCCTCGAGGTTCTGCGACGCCGGATGTCGATGGGGAACACTTTTTCCGCGCACCTAAATACCTGACTGTGTCATCGCAACTACACCTTGAGGCATATGCCGCAGAGCTGGGCAATGTATGGACATTGACGCCTGTTTTCCGTGCGGAAAAGAGCGACACGCCACGGCATCTCAGTGAGTTCTACATGCTCGAAGCGGAAGCAAACTTCATGAACGACTTGGATTCGCTTACGGGCGTGGTTGAACATATGCTTCGTGATTTGACACGACGACTATATGAGACATCTGTTGGACAGGAAATTTTGTCTGCAAAGCGCGGCGGCGAGTCTGGGCAGGAGAGCTCCTCCGAAGAGACGAAGCCAGATCTACGTCAACGATGGGCCACCTTGATGGATAGTCCCAAGTGGCCTCGTGTCACATATACAAAGGCCATTGAAATGCTCCAGCGAGCTGCTGATGAAGGTGCCTCATTCGAATACCCTCCCACATGGGATGGTGGCCTTCAACTCGAGCACGAAAAGTACATTGTTGAGGTGTTGCACCAAGGCAACCCGGTCTTTGTAACTGATTATCCGAAATCTGTCAAGCCATTCTACATGGCTCCCTCGCAGGTTGGAAATGAGACTGACGACACACCGGGACCGACCGTTGCCTGCTTCGACCTGCTCCTGCCCGAGGTCAGCGAAGTTGCTGGGGGGTCCTTGCGTGAGCATCGTCTGCCCGACCTTATCCAGAACATGCGCGAGCATGGTTTGATTAAGACCATTGAATCTACTGACCCTGAGAAGCCAACTCCCAATGAGTCTCTATACCCTCACCTTGCGCCGACGGAAGACCTCGGCCACTTACAGTGGTACGCGGACCTTCGCCGCTGGGGCACCGCACCCCATGGTGGCTTTGGACTTGGTTTCGACCGGATTCTCAGCTATCTTGCTGGCGTCTCTAGTGTTCGGGATGTGGTCCCATTCCCGCGGTATTTTGGCCGAGCTGATTGCTAGTGTGGCATCAGTGAACAGTGTAAAAAATTATCAAAAACTGTATTTATAGCCATGGAATCCAAACATCCACCGAGATGCCACATCCTTTAATCCTAGTGACACCTGGCAACAGGCTTGCTTATCCCGTCAACTACAACTGCCGAGAGGGCACGGCGATATATTCGTTTCGATATCATTCGCTGTAATTTTCATAGCCTGGAATTGTACATAAGTGAATCCGCTCCTACGCACGTAAATCATCACAACGAATGATCAGCAGGTTACCTACTAGCACTATCGCATCAACACAGTCATCGTCTCACTTGGGCATCCTTACACAGCACGGCGCTCCGTCCCACACCTGAATTCGAGACGATGGGGTTTTCTCTAGTACTCGTAATTCTCACTCCAGGCGACCAACACGCTATTCCCGAAGCTAAGGAGCGCGAGGCGCGGTGGAGTTACACCTACAATTAGTGCTGCATCGCCCCGACCCCGGGGCTGGTAGTTGGGGCCAGGGGGCCATCTTCCTGCTCCTGGACTCCGGAAAGAGTTTAAATCATCGACCAGGAAGGATCGAAATGCGATTGGGGGCGAGACTCGAAGATCCCAACTCGACTCTAGACTCAGGCGCCCGGATTGAACAGGATCTAGGTACGACGTCAAGGCAACTAGGGCTACGAGAGGGGGCCGAAACCTTGGAAGGAATGCAGGATTAAAGACGGGCCAAGCCTTGCCAGGGTCTCAAACCTGGAATACAATGATGAATTCGAGGGTGATGCTTGGCGTGGGAGGGATATTTACATACTCGCTCGCTCCTTTTGACTCTTTCTAGTATGTGATGTTATGTTACAAAGTACGTGGGATCAGCAAATATCGGTACGAGTCATTCTGGATAAAATCTACGGGATTAGTTGAGTGGCTGAGGACAGCTAAATGCCTCTTCAAATATGTATGCGCAATTCTCGACTGTACAACACAACACAGAAACTTGAAAGTATACATGACCAGTCGAGTTCCGTTATGCACCGGCTCTCGGACCGGTCCAAGCAAGGCCAAGCACTCTAGTGTGGTTGGAGGCGTCCGCAGGCAAAGGCAAAAAACCGGGGCTGCCGAAAGGGACGTCGATGCTATCCGGCGCAACCGATGCCTAGTAGTAGAGTCAGAATGCGAATGCGAGCCTAAATGGAAAGGGGGTCGAAGGGGGGGGACGGACGACGGAGGACTCCGTCAGCTCAAAAACGTGGTCCGTGGGTCTCCGGGTCTCTCTTTACATTGTACTCCGTACCGAGTACAATGTTTAAAAAACACACTTTATTTAGCTGGGTCAACTGCGGAGCTCGCTTAAGGCTGCCGAGAGTCGTATCTCCTCTCTTACCTACTGTAGGAGGGGAAAATACGAGTGGGGCTTCGTGTCACAAATTATGTATCAATTTAACTCGTTAGTCCTCGCGATGCCGAGAGACAAGAAATCCAATATACTAGTACGATTTAGGTATCACCTTGCCTGGGCATGCAGGAGTTTGGGTACGATTGGGGGCCTCATAGGCAGAACCAATATTAAACCTCATCAGGGGGCTCTAATTGTCCCATAACAGCCTCACAGGAAGGGGAGGAGGGGGGGGGGGGGACAGCCTTGGGGGAATTTTCCTTTTAATCTAACAAAGTTTACGAGGGGCCAGCCCTGCGATACCAATCAAGAGGCCAGGATCGGCGAGCCAAGGGGACCCAACCTTACCGGGGTTAAGCATAAGCACGAAAGATGTTCGGGCAGTGTCCGCTAGACGAGTCATGCAGCCGGGGGTTATCCCTGATTTGACGTATCACATAGGATGATTAATGTACGAGTACATGGCCAGGTTTTCATCGACTATAAAATCTTAGGTATGTGAGCGAGAGAGATCGATTGCATGGCGATACTTTGTACTCCGTACTCCGTACTCCGTACACATGATATCGTATATTTAGTGGGACTCCGTATCTTCCATACTCCATGGAGCCATATTGTATTCTATGTATTCTATTTACCAGGCCGAGCCCTCGTATTATCTTAGCCACACTTCCAAGTATTCGTATTCGGCTGGTTAAACTCCCCGAACGCATAAACTCAAACACCGTGCGCCACATGGTTATGCTGATTCATGTAAGACACTCGGCCTAGTGGGTACAACTGTCGGGCCATCGCGCCACTTCTGGTTAATATTAAGTGCAAGATTACCTTCTGTGGGCAAGAACATGGCGCTGTTTGCCCCATAAACTGATTTTCCTCCCATGGTTCAGAAGGGGCGCGCTGGATTTTAGGCTTGCCGAGTGACAGTTGCCACCCCAGAGCACCGACCGAGCCAAAAACTGGGGCCTAGGGAGCGAAAGGCCTCAGCTAAGGTCTTGGCGGGGGCTAGGCGCCTTTCACGACGCAGATGTGCGTTCTTGGCTTCTAACGAAGAGGGGGGGGGGGGGGTCGAGGAAGCAGGACTCAAGCAACTAAGATCATTCATCTTTAGAATTCTATGGGAAACCATGGACATCACAGATCGGAGGCGACCCACTCATTGGTGGGAAATAACGACAGAGGCTAGGCATCCTGCGCTGCTGTGAAAGCCTTCTAAGGTCGCTGGGGGGGAATGAGAAGAGGGGGGGCATTGTTTGCAAATTGGCATCCTTATGGCCAAGCATCGTGTCCTCTAATATTTTAATTTTAATTTTAATTTTTTTTCTTTTGAGATTCCACTGTATAATGCATATTCCCACTTAGGCACGCGCTTGGTAGTATGTACTAGGAAATCCTTGCGAGAAAATGGATCTGGGATCCTCCCAGCACATTCCCCATTCATCCAAGCGACAATCATAGACACCTTAATTATGTTAGTGGAGATAAGCTCGTGCGACGTTTCACAAAATCAATCCTTGGCAACCTTTAATTCCCGTTCCAGAGTTGCAACGAAAGGATGACAATACGGAAACATGGTCGTAAGCATATCTAAAGTAAAGTTGATCGCAGGGAATAACGCCAATTAGAGTGCGCCGGACCCATGTAAGGGCATGTCATCGCCCCCCAAAGGGCCCCTGGGGCCGCTGCTATTTGGTGGAGAAGGAGGGGCGATGGGCACCATACAGTGTACTAAGTACCTAGGTAGTGTTTGATCATCGTTCCGGCAGTTTCTAAGCAGTATCCCATCGCAAAGCGTAAATGATTGACAACCCACATTGGCTGTTCAGGCAGACAACTTTCTGGCAGTGGGTTTACACTTTGGACGAGACAAAGATCGCCTTGGCACCAAAATATTCAGACATGTGGCCTTTTTAAGTCAGCTTTAAATTCTCTCATCGTAATGATCAACATGAGTCGGAGTTTATTAGGCTGCAGTTACAGAGAACGATGCCCAAATATCGAACCCTGTCTAGCCTGCATTCAGCATGAGCATACATACATAGTATGTACAAGCGTACGTGCAAACAGCCTGAATGAAATGTATCTGACTAGGATGGTCAGGTAACGCAAGTCAAGTGCGAATATGTAAATAAATCCTACGCATGACCCCTCTCAATATTTGAATACAAAGGAATACAATAATAACAATATCGGCTGCATTTACGCCCCCGACTTGCTCTCGGACACAAGGGCCAAGAAAGGGCCGCACCCTGTGGAGCCTCCAAACGCATTGCCCTTGATTATCAGTGGGATCATGGAGTACACTCTACGGAGTACATAGAAAAAATGCATAAGCAAAAAAGAGGATACATAAAAATAAAATAAAGGGCGGCTCCACTGTCAGCCCGAAACCAGAAACTAGAAACCGCGCCAGTACGAGTACGCAGCGGCACCAGTTGCAGAATCTCATGAACCACGGTCGGCAAAGTAGTCTGTCGGCTTGGCCCGCAAGGGCCTGGCTCTACCTACCCTATGGCGAGTACAGGTGTTATGCTTAGCGAGCAGTGGAGCCAAAATGTTTAGACTAGACCCACCAAAGGAGTTGCACCGGATGATCGGATAGACTTGACGGGGAGCCCGAGGACCCCAAGTACTCGTACTTCATAACTCATTATCCAAATACCGAATAGATGAAGTTATAACTATACATAAGACTCCAAGGTTGTAGTATTATGTATACAAGCCCGAATATAGTAACGATCTTTATTTCCGTGGTAGCCTTGCCACATTGCTGATCCCTGGGGCGGACACAGACCAAATGATAAACTAAAAATATCCAAGCATAACGACCAAACTGTACTATCCTAAATCAGCAAGGAGCGCGGCGGGAAGGACGGATGTATAGGCGGGCTGGGTGATCCTCGCAGAAATAACATGGCAGCCAGCTGATCACAAAGCACTCGACATATCTCGCACATGGCTCCGAGCATCATGTAAGGGAGTAACATGTGGTGCCTTTAGGCATGGTGTTTGTTGAAATCAGGGAAAGACTACTCGTAAAATGTAATAATACATATGTACATAGGGGTGGTGATGTGCCAAGCTGATGGACGGGCTGATCGTATCGATTGTTATCGGATAGATCTGCTGCGCGCGATCGACTTTGGACCCTGTTTCTATCTGCCTTGTTAGAAAAAGTGTGCCATTTGTTGGAAAATGTTTATCATTTCAGTTCTGCTGACCACTTCATGGGTATTTGTTTCATGTAGATGCATGTAATCTCAATGTATTGGGAAAAAAAAGAAGTATTGATACTAGTACGGATACCCGTATGCATATAAGCAGTTTTCATGTTTATGTTAAGTAACCCTGTTTAAATCTGATACCCAGGTGCCAGACATTCATGTAGGTCCTCTATTGGCGAGTCTCCCTTTAGTACATTCTGGAACGCAGTGCGACCGTCTTTCGCATCCCCCCACCAGGTCATTGGAATTTCAGGTCACCATGATGATGTCAATGTCACACTAGTCGGCGCCATGTGAGACATCTGATGCAGGCCATAGCCAAACGCCCAGTCTGAACAAAGATAGACCTGGCTGGCTCAAGAATGAGTACCATGTACAAAGTACAGAGTCCTGCACCTCTCGAATTCGGAACACATTGACCCCCTTCATCGTTCATGATACATAACAGCTCGGTGCATATTTCATACACGAAGCTCCGTATATAGGACGGTTAATGCCAAAAGCTGCCAGCCTCCGAACCCTAATGTAGTGCGCTGTGCAACCGGTCTTTGTTGGCGATACGCTTAAACTGAGTCTTTGGCGTCGGTCCGTGCGCGAGTTCATTGAATCAAGAAGCTTTGCGCGACCTTGCGCCGTTCGACGTAAGTGCGTATCGGGTGCTTCGGCTATGCAGCTCCACCATTGGTTGAGTTTGTCTTTTTTCTGATTTGATTTTTGGATGGAAAAGACGAGACTTTCCTTAATACGATCGAACCGAAGCCACCTGCAAGGTGGTCTATAAGGCTCGCTGCATTCTGCATTGTGGGTGGCAGCGGGAAAATTGACAGCCGCTTAACCTTATCGCTGAGTCAAACAAGACTCAGCGACCATGGTCTCCAATTTAGGACATCCGGCGGCGTAAGATGTCATGTACATACGATGGGGCGCCAGTCATACTGCGAAGCGCTCCTACTAACTACTAGCTCGCACTCCTCGCCTCGAACTACAGCCGAATTACCCATTATGGGTCGTTGATCGCTCTGATTTGCGTGCGGAGAAACACAAGCACATACTCGTATTGCGTTTGACCAAAAAAAAAAATTAAGATGGACTCCGTATTGGGTAGTTGAATTACGTGGCATCTAAGCTTGTCGGCCGTGCATTCCCATCCCACGTAAACTTAGACATGGATCAACCCAGGGCTCGGGAGGGAAGAGGAGGCCTAAATAAAATGATCGTCGCAACTCACAGGACAGAACATATGCTTGGTCCTTTTTTCCCATTGGAGCCGTGTTCTCGTCAAGCTTTGCGGTCAGCAGTGGTTGAATTTTCTAGCATCGACCGTGTCACTATGGGAGTCTAGATACGAGGAAATTCGGCTTTAAGGAGTACGGAGTACGGAATACTCAAGATACGAAGTCCGAATCACGAGCTCAAAAGGATCAGATGCCACGCTGGCCACTTGTGGCTTTGGGATCCTCCCCGAGGGGAACTTGGCTGAGCCGTTTGTTTCGCAAGGAGGCTGATGCCGAGCGAACCGCTCTGGTCCGGCCATTATTAATGACAAAGTGGGGGGGCGATCGGGGTTCTCTGGTCACAGCAGTGCTAATGTCCGATAGTCAAGTGGGTTTTGGCCTCCACCGGGCACTTTATTTTTCACCCGTTGTCACCATATCTTAACTGTTGCCATTTTCCGACCCGAGCCATGGTTTAGATAGTAAACTCCGTACTCGTCAGTAGGGTCGGTATATTATGGATATATGGATATATGGATATACCAGCAGGAGTACTTAGACAGATACCAGATCTATCGTCTACACCCTGAACATAATACGGAGTAGGTAACACATATCTATGGATATTCCAAATAAATTTCTACCACTCTGCGACCGCAGGCTTTTTTTTTTTTTTAAAAAAAAAAAAAAAAAAAAAAAGGAAGGTCCTGCGAGGGTATGAATTAATTAACTACACAGTACTCCGTACGGAGTACGGAGTAATAAAAAGGGAATGATAAAACAGGTATTGCCTCTCCCGGCCTAGCCCATGCCAAGCACCGAGCGAATAAATCAGACTACGTCGAAATGGACTGGGGTGGATGCGGCCTTTCTAAGCGAGCATAAAGTTCAGGCCGGCCTCCCTCGTGTCGGATTAAGCTTAAGCTTCATCGAGCGGCGCACTAACCGCCTTCAAGCCAATCGCCACTTTGTTTATCTGACACAGAATGGGATTCATTTCCTATACCCATACCACTATCTGAAGCTTTACTAGGCAAATACCACGGATCTTGAATCATCGTCACATTCTCGTTTGTTTTTACAGGGTAAACTTCCCAGTCCACAAATTTCAATCTCGCCAGCCAGGAATGGGGCTGCCTTGTGAAGGGGCAGCCAAGGCTCGCAAATAACCTTACTGCACTCACCGACCCCACCGTAGGCGGTCTTAGTCCAAGCCACCGTAAGCTTAGCCAAGGCCCAACCAAGAGCTTCCAAGCCCAGCACAGCCAATATGACGAACACAGTAGGAAAGGTGTCTTGCTTACCCGACTCGTGCGGGAACGATCGCAAATAAATACTGTTTTTAGTAGTCTTACTCCGTAGATAGTGTGAGAACTTGAGGAACTTGAACATTGACGTGACAGAGTAGACCAAATTCCATTTGTAGGCTACACAGTATTTTATCGTACAGCTGTACCTAGGTATACATACTTTACCGTATTCCTTTCTTTTTCTCTAGGAAGTTCTTAAGGTATTCAATGAATGTTCCTTTAGATAAACAGCCGCCTTCTTCAAGTTCAGCCTTGCCACTTACCCCCCCCCCCTCCTTTCATTTGCCTATTTCTCTGATGTGATCCACGGTTCCCATGCACAAAAAGTCATGCGATACCAGTATCTTGGATTTGAAATCAGAAGTATGCATCGCTCGGGATTCCCTGTTCTTTTTCTATTGGTAATCTTTAATCTGTAAATTTAAATTTATTTTTAATTTTAATCTTTTTTTTTGTTTTTGTTTTTTAAGATTTCCTCTGGCTTTAACTCACATCTGCTTCCTTGTTTTTGGCCCTTCCCCCCCTGCCAGTCGTTTTCCCCTATCACATCTGGATCGTCATTCGCACTCCATCTTTCAACCTTAGTTGCCTTTCTCCACCCAACTCTGTTTTCCAGAGGCTATTGTATTACCATTTTTGAAAAATTTCCCTTTTTTTGTAAAATTCAAATCCAAATTCAAAATTAAATTAAAATTTCTTATTTAGGATTTTCCCCTTCCCTTTCCCTTTTCTGGGCCCCCTGGTCCATACATTGTCTATCTTCTCGCCCTTCGACCCATTCTTGGAAGCTCGGCGTTTAGCAACTTCCGTCCGATCGCTTGGCTCGCCTTTCACTGCTCGGTTCCCTTATTTAACCTTCTTTTGATGCTTCCTCATGTTTCGGCCACTGCTATTTCAACCCTTTCATACCCCCCCATCTGTATTTAAATTCTTTATATTGACCCTGACTCTCAACCCTCTTGCCTCTTGGGGTCTTTTCCTACCTACTCCGTATCCCCTTCTGAGACAAAGCCTTGGAGGGTCTAAACCCACACCCTTTTAAACCTTGTACGATAGTCAGTGAACCCTCCTCCGTGTTTCTGTCGGCATTCTTTACGGCCGCTTCAACCCACCTTTTTTCCCTTCGCCCCACAACACAATCTCTGCAGGCCTGGCGCTCAGAGTCATTACCCTTTTGGAAAAATTAAATTTCAGAAAAATCAAATTGAACAAAAAGAGAAGAAAAAAAGAAAAGAAAATTACGCCAACCTAACCTTGTTAGGTGACGTAAAAAAAGCTCGGCCGTATCCACATATCCACTACTCAGCCTACCCCATACCCGATCAACACTGACTCTCGGATCCTGGTTCCTCTTATATACCTGTTGGAACCGCATCTCTCCACTTCTGGCCTCTTTCCTCTCTTTCCCCCAACTTGATCGACTTCCTCTATCCTTGTACTATTCTTGTACTTGTTCGGTTATATACCTAGAGGATTTCCTAGGGATTAAGAACCCCTACTAACACAGCCACACCACTTCCCACCAGTCCACTAGTAACAAGATCCTGGTTATCGGCTTACTTCGCTGGGATACTGTGTTCCAAAGATCAGAACTGATCATTTACTATTCACTCCACTCGCCAAGTTTGAAATAATCTGACCATCGGAGCTCCTCTCACCCATCCGGGTCAGCAATCAATACAGAAAGATTTGATGGAGACCTACTACGGCCACGTCCGCACCCCGGCGGACGCAATCATTCTATTCGAGGCTTGTCGCATTGGCCTGCTTCCACGAGTGCAAAGACGACTCTCAGAAAAAGAGCGACAATCGATTCGATCGGGCTCGGTATTTGTCTGGGATGAACGAGAAGCTGGCATGCGGAGATGGACCGATGGGAAATCATGGAGCGCCAGCCGAGTATCAGGCAGTTTTCTGACCTATCGCGAAATGGAGGGCAAACGTGGAGGGGGTAGTGTCTCACAAAGTTCGGTATCAAGGACGGGGAAATCACCAGAGAGCAGGGGTAGTGACGACGATCGGGGGGACGGTACAGATGAGGGCCCAGATGGCTACCGATATAAGCCTGACGGTTTGATGAAGCAGTCCTTCAGTATCACCACTTCCACTGGCCAGCACCTTCACCTCATCAGTTACTACTCGCGTTCGCACCCTTCTGCCGCCAACCTGCAACAACCAACGACCGATCCCGCTTTGCGACATGTGCGACCCCAGAAGGGCCTGTACCCTGAGTCAACGGTCAACGACCAACAGAACCTCCCTGTTGTTACCCGCGGCCCGATGGCCGGCGCAGCGGCGTATCCCATCACCCCTCACCCGATGGGCGCCTATGCTGCGCGCGCTACTCATGCCCCCTCATACACGCCGCCATCCTATGCCTGGCCCCCCCACCCCGCTTGCAACCCCGCCTACCGTGGCCGTGCCTCCATATGGCGCCTCCTACCTTCCACCAGTATCAGCGACAAACGGCCCACCGGGACCTCCAGGGCCTCCGCCATATGGGCACCCGCAACATCAACCACAACCTCACTCCCTGCCGCCACCTCCCCACGGTATGCCAGGCCCATATGAACGACCTGTCCATGTCGAACCTGCTCATGCCGCTGCTCCGCCATCCATCGTCCCTCAAGGATACCCTGGACGTTCACCACGAACAATGCACGAGCTCCCACCTCAACAGCAAAAAAGCCCGCGATATGCAGCCGTCCCAGACCCTCGAATGGTTTCGCCCCGAGTTGCAGCAGGCGCCATCCAGCCATCCAGTGTGATGGCTCACAATAGTCCTCACCTACTGAAGCAAACCCCGCCCATCGCTCCGCAACAGCTTGGCCCCATCGGCACATCACCGAAGCCAGCTGAAGGCAATGGCGTGCCCGGGATCGGTGCCTTGGTGAGCGGGACATCGCTTGCCCCCATTACTACGATGGGCGCTCCTACTGGTGCCCCGGGAAGCCCACCTGGTTCTCGCCCGGGCGTTCGAGATATCCCTCATGAGAAAATCGGGTTTGGCGGAGAGGATACGAGGGCACTGCGCCAGCTGGACCGGGTATTCATCTGATCTGATCTGATTTTGATCTAATCTGATTTCTTCATGATCGCTCTCAATTTCAACACCTAAAAGCTCACTTTACGATATCCTTCTTCCTTCGCCTTATTCGCGAATTCTTTTTACAGTTCGGTTTCTTGAATGTCGTTACAATTTTTCCTGATTCAACTGGTTTCTGGAACTGGGCACATTTTTCATCTGATATCCATATTGCTTGTCTTTTTTCTACGCCTTTTCTCCTGTTAATTGTGTGTGTTTTGTTTATTTTATTTTTAAGCATTTTGCATGGGTCGGCTGTCTGCATTTCCTGGTTCATGTGTGATATGGTCACAGCTCATGGGTCACGGGTATTTCATTTTTGCATTGGGATCGGTACACGGATAGGATACGGTTCTTGTATTCGGTTATTTGGTCAATCGACCTGCTATATCTTCCATTGTTTTCTTCAATTCCTTCTTTTCGTAGATCTCGTAGACCTCGTTTACTATGGAAATATTTGCCCTTGTTGCGATACTGATATAGACCCTTTCGAGACCCCAGTAGAATAACCTGCCAATAATAGTATCATGTCAATATACTACTTCGTATTAAGGCCTTAATGAGAACTCTGAGGAAATATTATTCATCAAGGATGAATTATAAGATGAAAGCAACAAAAAATGACTCAGATGGGACCTATAGAGTGTTATCTTGGCGCTCCCACTGACACAGTCTCTGGCAGATAATGCTTTTACGGAGTTGAATTAGTGCCAGTGACACTTCGCTGAGTCCTGGCTGTTCGGTTAAGGTCTACTTTGACATTAGAGAAGTGTATATTGAGTGGGTTAGCCTCGCAGTTTTCTTAGAAGCTGAGGTCTAGCTACCTCCATCACCTGGAAGAAACCCTGACTGCCGAAAAAGCCCCATCTACCTCGAGATGGTACATTGACATTGAAGCTAATATTTTTTTTCCTCAACGTCGGAATCAGAGATTGCAGTACGGTCTCAACAATATGACCGTGAAATGTTCGAAATAGGCCAGAGGTTTAGGTGCTCAATTTTTGATAGAAGGTTCGGTGAATTGCTTGAGCATCAAGCGCGATGTATGGCGGGCTTGTAAGAGAGGGGGCCAGCTGAATTGTGTTGAATGGAAGATACAGAGGGAAGAATAACTGAATATATTACTACTACTAGCAGCTCTCTGGTATATAAAGTCTATGGGGGTTAGAATATTGGTATATATAATGATTTATGCCCTTGAGGCCCATGGCTGTATAGAACAAGGCGGATCTATTGACATCCCATTTCACATCCGTACTAAGAACAACAGGGCATAATCACGCTTGGTACAAAAAGTCACTTGGGTTGCGAGTACAAACCTCGAAAGCTTTAGATCCATCTCGGTGTGACAAGGCGAAGAAATATAATGTTAGGCATCTGGATGCTTAGCCGTGTAATAGTAGAGTTACGACTCGGAGGCCATGGTAAGCCCTAAAGGTACTAGTATTGTAAAAATTGCCCTTGTGTACCGTCAAGACCTTGGGCTCATATGGCCACCCATGAGTTGCATAAATTGTGGGATATGCTTTTGTTTTGGTGTCCTCGACTGATCATCACTATCATCTTTAGCGCATCGAGCACTCAGCGTCATACAACCCGTAGAACGTGCCAATGTTCAGTAGCAACGAAGTTCTTCCCCTCTTCATATATTATCGAAATATATTTTCGTTCATATCCTACCTTACTGACCATTATTATCAGGCGTGGAGGTGCAATCGGCCAAGATATGCTTTGTGGTGGTTAGGCAGAGACCAGGCCCTCAACAGGGATTGTTCCAAGGTTCAAGATGAGTACTTCCAGCAACTCAATCAGACTTGGAAGCTCGCTGGGTATGTTTGCATGCATTCTCTCCCTTATGAAAACCGAACATACTACTCCTACCCTCGACTCGGCCGCGCCCTGCGAAGAAGCGACGAGACTTCACGCTGTATTCGTTATCATACTACAATGATATTCACCGAAATCGTGAGTTATTTTTTATATGCACCCTGTCATTACAATCTTCTCTACAGAATCTCATGAGCTGTTTTGATATCTGGGAGGTAAACGGATGTTATTGAAGCCAACCATGCGGTATTCAAAGGTCGATGACAAGAATGTGGCGGGATATGAAACAACGGTGAAGGGCGTTATTTGGTATTCTTAAGTGCTTACGGTAGTCGTTGAGCCTTCACCCTTATGATGACAAGACACATAGAGAATGCAACAGAGGGATCTACCTGTATGTTTTTTATTTGATGTATTGCACGTGAACAAAGCATCCAATGATGCTATGCCGGTCTCTACGTTTGCCAAACCCCATCCCAAGGACGCCTTCTACTTAAAGTAGTTGACGGGTTTTTGTCAAGCAGTTGAGTGATGTTCTTAAGTTTACTCTCCTCTCGAATTGGAGACATAGCGCCATCAAATATATCATGATATAGCTTCCGAAATCTCTGATGGTAAAAGATCCGAGGAATTGAATTACTGTTATGGAGACTATATTTGGAATTATTAAAGTTACCATGTCTGATTTCATAGCATGGATGCTACATCTATGGGCTGTGTACGAAAATGCCCAGGTGATGATTCATAGTTATTCAATCAACCCATACCATACGCCTTCATTTTCTTCATTTTATATAAAACCCTCAAATAGCTCAAAGATCAAGAGTCTAGTTCTATACCTAGGGCCAAGTTGGGCGACTTTATACGACCGCATCTAGACTACTACTAATACTGTGTCGTGTTCAACCCCTGGGCACGCTTCACCTCAATAATGACCTGGAAAATAAATCGGCCCAGAAGCAGATTCCCAGAAGCTTGCGGCGATGCTAATTTGGTATTTGTCCAAAGACTTTTCAATATATACAGATAAAAATAGACTATGTATATAATACTATCACAGGGCCCAACTAAATCATAAATTGCTCGATGGGGTGCCACGCCATGAGCGAGAACAAAGCCTAGAAAACCCTGACCCAGGAGCTGTGGTATCGAAGAGCACGAGGATATAAAGCAAAGGAGCCCAAGTAATTGTTTCAAAGGAACATATCACTCATCAATCTAGTACGAAGGCTCCGATAGTATTATCTCAAAATTATTTCAGCATTATCTATATCCAATGGAAGGGCTCGGTAGACATACTACTCAAGTTTCTCTTCATTGCTTCTATTACTATGGAGACCAACTACTCAGCACTTCGAGCCCCGGAGAGCCAAGAATGGATAGAACAGGGTTAAATAGACTCCACTATTAGATACCTATGAGCATGAAGACATAGAAATAAATCTCATTATATCTTGATTGAAAATTATAAACTTTCTATTCACCATTGCATCTCTATACGTCAACAGCAAATAGAAATTTGCTTGAGACTCGCCGTCTGGTATAAAGATCTCATTATGAGGGATAAGTCCTAACTGTATTACTAGTGGATTGGAATTGGATGAAGCATGAGGCTGTGCGATTATCTGGCTCAGTAGTTCTAGTTATTTTTTGAAATGAAACCAGACTTGGCTGCATGCTAATTAGCTTATCGTTGTTCGATTGTCAACCCTGGGAATGAGGCAATTTTCTTATCCTTACATTATCTTTTGTTTCGAAACAATTTCCTTAGTTATGAGGTATTTTCTAGTTGATTATTTCTCTATAGTATTTCGCTTAAAAGAGGCCCGAGGGACTCTCGGATCGACAGACCAGACCGAAGGCAAGGACAGTTGCGAACGATCGATCTCGACCCAGCTGCTTGGGAAAAATAGGCTAAAATTGGTTGGGCATCAATAGCGACCAGCAAAATTACCCGACGCGGTCCGGCTTTGTTCGCGATTCAGCTGACATGAATAATGTAAATTTTGGCACATTCACCTTGTGGTTAGGATCCACGCGCTACGAGGTAGATACAAAGACTATTGTCACTTCACAGATAGCCGACAACAAGAGCAGACTAGAACCACTAGATCGTGTTTGAGTATGTCGGTTATTCCGAAGAGGCTCTATCTACATACCGTGGCAAACCAAAAAATCCTGGATCGCTTAAGCACTTTTCCCCTAGGCACTTCAAGGATGCATGGTTGCCTGTATACCATTCTGGTCACCAGCCCAGCACAGCCCCTATTTCCAGCTCCGTGGAGTTGGTTGCCCAAGTTAAGTTCGCCACCCCATGGGACAGACGTTTCTTTTTTCTCGTATTGTGTCCGTCAACTAAGGTCGACCCGTTCCCTCGGGACCGGGTTAGCGACCAACTAGTTATTTGAACTACATAGGAGAAAGATGTCATCATGTGCCAGGGATATGGCAGGTTCTTTCGATCCAGTACATAGTTCGTGTGCATGCAATTAAGACTCTAGTGATGACGCGCAGATGTCAGGGCGAATCGTATGCCATGATAAATCTGCGCAGATCATGGCGTGATGGGCTTTATCATGATTCCGTCCCGGGTAATTGGGACAACAGGGGCTTAATTTGATCTATTGATTTCCGAGGTATACAGCCCTTCACAACAGACGAAGCGAACGGTTTCTACTAGAATATGTAGATAAAATTGAGTTAGTAGAGAGACTAAATAGACTGACAAAGAACCCGGGAGAAAATAAAGAAAAATGATCAACATATTCAACCTCCGTCCAGGTGCTGTCATGTTCTATCTCAAAGATTCGGTTATAGTTAACCGACATGTCAATCATACCCATCCCAGCAGTGCGGGATACTCCACTTACCGATAAGCCCTACATCGCGCTCAGATGTGTTCCTCGGAGATGCAAGAGCTAGTGCTCGTAGATTCGAGCATTGGCTTGGCCTCAAGATCGAGTAGACAAAACTATCGGTCGCAGGAAGGCTATTGATAATAGATCGCCAGTTGATACATATGCCAATATGCACCTTGGATGGATACCAGAATGAGTGGCCAGGAAGCTTCTGCCGTTGAATGAGCTTGGTCAAACTATTGCTTGACCACGATCAGTGACAGCCAGCTGGTGGTGATGTGAGCGATCTTGATCCACTCGGTGGCCCGAACTCTGGACGTTGCGAGTTCATTTTTCTCTGCCCAACCGATTATTTTTTTTTTCCAGTGAAAGAAAATTAGCGGACGATGGGATGTAAAATTGAGGGCTTCAAGAGGTATTCGGAATTTCAGTCCTTTGACCCGGTCAATAAAAGGGGCTGCAGGTCTCAACACTCCGGGAATCGACGAATGCTTATTCAAAACCAATCGCGTCTCATTCGCTGGTCATATATCCATTTACCCCGTACGAAAGAGCACTCACGCCGTACGTAGTACGAAGCACACGCGACACTGATTCCATGAGGTTCCATGATTCAAGTTTTCATGCAGACGCTGCCTTGCTCTCGCCCCCATCTCCTGGGTGGGGGGGGATTGACGGGGTTGGGCGGCCCGCAAGCTGCCGCTCACAATTTCATCATGGACAGAGGTACGGAGTACACGAGTTGGTGGCTGAGCCTGGGCGCACCGGCTTGAACTAAGAAAACTAAATTGGGAGTGGATTGACTAAAAGGAAAAGCGGGGGCCTGGCTGGTCATCGTGCGGCATGGCCATTTTCCCTTACTGGTGAAGGCGGCAGCAGTAACCTGGACGCGAGATGAGAATGAGATGGATATGAAGCTGACCGAGTAGGGCCGACAAGGGTGCCAGTGTGGATGAGTGGGGAAGTTAAGAATATCAAACAAGATTGTAAGCAGCGCTAGATGTCTCAGGAATGCCAGTGTACTGATCGCCCTGTTCCTATGTGGACTGCTGACCGCTGGCGATGGCGACGGAATTCTGACATATAGCAGAGCTGCCATTGGCGAGAGGGCTAGACTAAGTATAAAAAGAGACAAATTCTTGGTCAGTGCTTCACGGACAGAGACTTCGTTTGTCTTTTCTCCTCGTGGAGATGGTCTAGTTGGTCAATAGTGTTGGGAAGGGGAATATCAAAATTTATTTCGACACTTTTCTTCTTTTGGGGCTGTTCCTCCACGAACCAACGGTGGCTGGATCATGCTTATGTGCCATGCCCTTTGTATATTAGTGCTATTATAGGCCGAAGTGGCTCGGGGACCTGCTCTAGACTCTTGAGCATCAAGCCTCGTCCCCATCCCGTGTCACAGAGCGAAAGACACACCAGAGAGACAAGAGAGGGTCAAGAGGGTCAAGAACAAAAAAAGACCACAATTACGTCGGATCGACCGAAGGGGGGACCCGTTCTAGCCCACTTCTCCACTCAGTCCTTCTCCACCCGCCTCCGAGACCAGTTCGTATGAATGATTGGATGGCCAGTCTGCACCAAGAGGCCCAAGATCACTGTCGTTGCTGCATGCCAGCCAATCCAGCCGGGATCATCAACATTCTCGGAATACCTGCTATATTAGTACACGAGGTCAGGTGGATCATCCTTCTTAGTTCGGAGGCGTCATCCGCACGAAGCGCCAGGTACGGAATACAGAGGGACCAGCTGGGCTGCATCAACCAGCAGTTGTTGAATTTGTTTAATTTTACAAGCATAGAGTCTCTTTTCTTTTGCCGCTTCCCCACCAGGAACACGAAGTCCATGCGCGACCGGTAGAACGAACGAACCTGCATCGAAGTACTCCCAGGCTATACTTCGGCGGCACTAACCGGGTGGTTCACCCCCACTCCGCTCAACAAACGGGGGAGGAATTGTGGACGGGAACAACCTTCATTCTTGTCAATTAGAGTCACAAAGGGACGACCCGCCTGGATTGTGCGGGTGGTGGATTCACGGACAGGGACAGGGGTATGTACACATATGGAAATGCAACACTTCTTCCTACTCTATGCGAGGGTCGCCCCGCGTCGCGGAGAGAGAGTGCAGCTTATACGGAGTACTGTAGACCAGACAGACGCAGCCTGTCTGCAACACATTCCAAGGGTGCATGATTGGATCCCGCAGTTTAGTGTCAGATCATAGACTTTGCAGGGCGATCTCTTCTCAAGACACCCGGAAAAAAAAAGATTGACTTAATTTGCCATTTGCCATTTGGATGGGACGGAGTGAGAAGGGGGCCCCATCGGATTGCATAAGGTCGTTTGACCAGCTGTTTAGTCGCCTTGAACCGACCAGACTAGCCCACTCGAGCCCTGAGCGCCCGCAAATTCCGGTACCTGGCCTGAAGGGGACTAGAAGGCAACTAGCAAGGATCGCTGCTGAAACTCTCGCGCGGATTTGCCTGGGAGAGGCCCAACTGGGTCTCAGCTGATGCGAATGGAAAATGGCTAAACGGTAGCTTACCCGTTGGGGGGCCACTCCGATCATACGAGAAGACCAAGGGAGACCAAGGGAGGGTCATCATTAACTTCAGACGGGTTATGGTGAGAGTTAGCCCATTACCCAGTTGAGCGGCCGGCAGATTTCCCGAGTCCTGTGCTGTGAGTGAGTGTAATGTAATTTGCAGGTCTCTTCTCTTTCTCGCCACATTCCCCCTCCCTTTTGAGGGAAGCTAGGTCACAAGTTCGATGAGGGCCTGAGCTGGTGGTGGTTAGGATGGTTTGAGGTGACAAGTGACAGTCACAGTCACTCTCAATGTCACTCATGTACCCTACTCAGCTCCGATCGAGGCTGGAAGGGGAGAAAACATGGATTGACTGATCTGGACACGCATCATAGGCCGGGGTGGAACCCGTAGGCAGGAGACTACGTATGTAGGCTCTCCGAATCTGGACGATTCCTGCAGCGGATGTCCGTGCTTGGTCGCTCTAGAGATGATCTGGCCCACTTACCCCAGATTGTTGGCGGGTGGTACAGAGTACTCCGTACAAGGGCAGGCATTGCGTAACAGATTTCCAAGTCAACGGATCTTGCAAGTGGGCGTAGGTGTGAATTGAAGATGGGAGATGCGCTTAGACCCGAAGTTGGAGGGACTGGGCCTAGGATGAGAGAGAAGACCACACTCTGCAGTACTCGTACTCGGCCATACGTGGATCAATTGTGTTGGACCCAGCCATTTGTACAGAGTATGGAGTATGGGTATGGAGTACAGATGGAGCACAGATTGAGTAAGAGTTCAAGTTCTATTTTGGCCCCGTGTAACCTGCCGCGCTTTCCCTCGAACAAAAATGGGAAACAAATGACCAGTAAAGGAACGATCGTTACTTTACCATCCTGGTCAATATTGTGGGGGGATGCTTTGTTTTCCTGCGGTCCGATTTGCCCCTGCAAGTGCGATGCGCGAATCGCCGAGGAATTATAACTCAATCAGCCTAATTAGTGCCAGTGCCAGTGCCAGTGCCAGTGCCAGTGCCAGTGCCAGTGCCAGTGCCAGTGCCAGTGCCAGTGCCAGTGCCAGTGCCAGTGCCAGTGCCAGTGCCAGTGCCAATGCTGGCCTAGCAGTCCAGCTTCCTAGCTGGGTGACTTTCAAGTTGAGGCACAGACAGGGTAGAGCTATTACCCAGCAGAGTAAAGTATGGCCTAAACCCGAACCAGGACGGGGTACCTCGGTGGAATCGAGTAGAGTATGGACATATGGATGTTCCCATTCTGGCAGCTAGTCATACTATACGGAGTACTCCGTACAGAGCACTCATAATGGATCTTGATCCATTCTAGATCTTCCTGTTTGTCGCCTTCCTTCTCGAGCATGGGCTGATAGTCACTGTGGAGCGATGGTTCATGAGTACTCCGTAGGCAACCCCCCAGTGATGGAGAGAGAGGGAGAGAGAGAGAGAGAAAAAAAAAGGAAATGTTTTTTTAAAAAAAAAGAAAAAGGGAAAAATCGAATGTAAATCGACCAAAAATATTATTGCTTTTTTTCATTTTTTTCATTTCTTTTTTCCCTCTTCACATTTCCCCATTTTTCCCTCGCTTGATTACTGCAAATCAGGGCGTCCGATCCAACATACCGGGCAGCCTCCCCCGCATACAAAGTTAAACTCTTAATGAAGCCAGTTCAAGTTCGTATGACCTCAGGCTTTTCATTACGAATTTTGTTCTGTTGAGTGAAATGCGATCTACGAGTACTCGTTAAATGAAATATATTCTGACGGGCCTCCTCCGCCCCCCACTTGTCTCCTCTTTCTTTCTTTTCTGTCTCTCTCTGTTCGCTCTCCCCATCCCATCCCATACATGACATGATCATCCGTTTGATCTGCGACCCTCCCACCTCTAACCACTATTCGTTCTAAAAGTACTCCATACGGAGTACACCTGGGCATACTACTTGCAGTACCCATAACTACTACTACTACTAGTACTACTACTACATTATAACCGCCCATCCTCCCCGCCCCATTTAGGACCCGCGCCCGCTTTCCCTCCCCTCTTCTCTCTCCTCTCTCCTCTCCTCCGAGTCTCTTCTCTCCTCCGAGTCTCTTCTCTCCCGAGCGCAACACTCGGTCCTTTCCCTCTGTTAGAAGGGCTTACACCCTCCCCTCCCCCCCCCCCTCTTTTTCCTTTTCCTTTCCTTCATTTGTCTTCCCTTACTTCCCCTTCCGCGGACCAAATATTCAATGTTGTCCATGCAGAATTCTCCGCTATTCGCCCATGCAGATTTGACCGGATCGGGTTTGCAGGATGAGGGATGTTCCGGCCCGCTACCCAATTTACCGAATGGTATCTCCATCTCCGGACTTCGAGCCAGCACCTCCAGTACCAGTACCGGCGCCAGTCCCGATGATACTTCCACCGATTCCCCCGACTGGCATGGCGGAGACCGATCCCCTCCAGCGGACCTGGATATCTCCATGAACGCCTTTACCCAGTCGGACGATTATATGTTGGAGTCACAGATGGCGGAGATGGACGAAATGCCCAAAGTGGAGGAGTTGGACGAGGAGGATATTCAAAGCATCAAACCGTCGGATGTGGGGAATCGCCATGACCATGACTCGGGCGCTCCCGCCGCTGTTCCACGGAAACGTGGTCGCCCTCGCAAACACCCTCTGCCCACTCCAGGGAACCAAGCCAAGATCACCAAGGGTCGCTCCAAGACGGGCTGTATCACTTGTCGACGTCGGAAGAAGAAGTGTGATGAGACCAAGCCAGCGTAAGTCGCAGTCCACATAGCGCATCGTCGCGCATCGTCGCCTCAGCACGATGCGATTCTCATTCTCAGTCTCATTCTCGATTTTTGATACTAATTGGGTGTTTTGGACGTGTCGCAGGTGTCTCAACTGTCAAAAGAATGCCGTGGTCTGTGAGGGTTACCCCCCGAAAGAGATTTGGAAGAGTGGGAGACAGAAGATGGCCGACGGTACGTATGATTTGGTTGGGATTAGCATTAGCATTTGGACTTGGACCGGGCGCAAACAACAAAGGATCAACCACTGACTGACCTCGCACATCCACAGCCGTCCTCACCCACTCCCTGGCAGCGGTGCCGCGCAATCTCCCCCTCCTCATCGACGGAATCGAAACCGACATCGATCGCCGCTTCCTCGACCATTTCGTCTACGGTTTCAGTCGCGTCTTGACTCTCGTTAACGATGACTCCAACCCTTTCAAGGAGATCCTTCTGCCCATGGCCACCCAACATCGCGGCTTGATGCACTCGCTCATGTGTCTCTCGGGATCGCATTTATCGGGGCTCGATCCGGAACCGAAGCTGAAGGAGCGCAAATACTTCCACTTCCATCGCGCCATCCAGGACTTGAAGGACAACATTACAGCTTCCTCAGCACAGGGCGGGGATAAGGACGAGCAGCTTCTAGTGGAGGACCCTATCATTGCCTCGACGATCGCCCTCAGTTTGAATACAATCTGTGAAGGAGAGACGAATGGCGAATACCGGCCGCACATGGATGCCGCCAGGTATCTCCTAGTGTCGCAGCAGCCACGGAATGAAAAGTTCCGTCAGTTCATCGTCGAGTTCTTCCAGTACCATGACATCTCCAACGCGCTCACTTCCCTAGACCGCCGTCCCGCTCTCAACTCCGGAGGGATACATCTTCCTGACTTTGTACCGGGAGCCCAGGCCGGCATGTTCTTGGGTGTCTTTGATGGTTTATTCAACTATATCTCGGAGATCACCCAACTACGGGATCGCATTCGGCAACGCTTCAATGAGGGATATGAGCCGGCCGTGGACTATCAAACTCTGAGTGAGGCAGTTCAGGTTGATACGGCCATTCGGACCTGGCAGACTTCGCACGAGGAGGACACCCCGAATTTCTTCCTTGCCCAACTATACCGACAATCTACTTGGGTCTACCTCTACCGCACAATTCGCCCCTCGCGTCCAAGCGAGAAGATCGCTCAAGTGGTCGACGATGGCCTGTCTTGGTTGGATCGCTTGCCGCAGGATGCCGGTGCTTACAGCATTGTCCTTATGCCACTCTTCTTACTTGGCTGTTCGGCATTCGTGGCAGAGCAACGTGAACGTATCCAAAAAGGATTCGAAACTCTCAAGTCATACTCAAACCTACGTAACATCGAACCTGCTTTCAAGGTTGTCACGCAGGTCTGGGAGATTATGGACACGAAAATCGAGGACAGCTGGGATTGGGAGAAGATCATTCATGACATGAATATGGACTTCCTCATTACCTAGACTGCCCTCTCCATCCCACCCCCCCCTTTACCTTCTCCTCACTACCCTTTGATTTGATACCCTTTCTTCACTTCTCCATTCTCTTTTCTCTTGACTGCTTGTTTTTGAATGTCTCACATTCCACATGATGATCTTTCCTTCGGGGAGACTGTACTATGTTATGTGGCGTTTTGTTTTTGTTTTGTTGCTTTGGGTCCGCATCTGCATTCGGTGGGGGGATTTGGCCTGTGCATGTCGTGTGTGTCTTTTGTATGTGTGTGTTCATGCTAGCTGGCGAGTACAGAAAGGTATGTGGTTGTCTCACAGACCCCGCTGTAAGGGGTTTTGACCGGGGTTTGGGGAAAGGGCGGGGATCGAGTGTCTACCGACGTCGATCACATGCCCTTTCGGGACAGATCCATTTATTACAGCTGTACTCCCTCTGTGCTGTTCTACACGAGACACGCACGAATTCCAGAGCCTAAAAGTCGAGGTGGTGTTTTTTCTTTGGCGGGCTGATATTTGATCAGCGGGGTACATATATTGATGACAACAGGGCGTTTGCCATTTGATTTATTTGGACGGCGAGCTATTGGATCTCCTGGATTGGCCAATGCTGTATATATTCACGATGGCTTTTGTATTTACTCTTAACTTCTGCTCATGTGAAAGTGAAATATGACGTGTATAATAAGCAAAAGTACCTATGTAAAACTTGAAGTAACTGAGTTTTTTAAGAGGCCTGGAGCGAATGAGATTTGGTCTATTGTAATTCAAGTTGCAGAAAGTTAAATGAGATCAGTCAACAAGAGCCTTGGAATGTCCTTTTGGCAGGCAGGCGTCAGCCTTGGAAGATGACCTACCTAGGTAGGCAAGTGACACCGTGACACTGGCAGCTTCAGCTTCAGCTACTACCACAGCTGATCAATCTATTACACTATTGGAAAGTTTACCAAGTTCCAAGTCGTTCACACTGGCAGTTATTTCCGATCTCCGATCACAAGCTAAGGAAAAGAGAATGTTGTCGAAAGACCGACAAGCCAAGTTCGGAGGGACTACTGCAAGTATTTCATGTATTCTAAACTTGGACAAGATCTTCTCAATGTCACCTTTTCAGCCCGATGTAGAACCGTATTGAAGAAGGGGGCTGCATAGCAATCCGTCGGCTTGGGTCTAGAGAAACCCTCATGGCTATTTGCCTTTTTCAATATACAGGATGACCCTCCAAGGCTTGGAAATGTTATGCGAACTCACTACCTTGACCTCGGGCTGGTTCCACTGAATCCGGGTTTCTGGGCAGTTTAGGGCTGAGCATCCCAGTCCCGCTAGCGCGTACCTAGCCAGCAGGATTTCATGATGTATGTAGCACTCAGTCGCACTATTTTGCAGCAGTCGTGGGTCAAAGTCCAGCCTTGAAATGGTCTGGAATAGCGATGCTCATAAGATCCCTGGACATTGCATGACAAGGAAGAAATCCGATGTCGGAGATTTGTAAAAGTATCTTTGTACCTCAGACCACCTCTAGGCCGAAACATCGTAGGAAATTTCCATCGCATTCTAGAAGATCGACCATGCGACTCCAAGGATTCGATATAAAAGCAATTCTACGATTGCGCCGTACAATGACGTGCATTCTCATCTCTAGTCTAATTTTGCGATTGTAGTACTCAGCACTTGCAGCAAACTAATTCATTCTCCGCTGATCCGACTTCCAAGGTTATCTTAATGTGGAGAACCTGGTGCTCGTTCTTCTCGGGTGATTTTCTCGCGCTACGGGCGTCATTTATAAAGATGATCAATGGAGATAGCATTGGGATATTCCGCCCCCATCATCTGCAGGAACAGGGGAAATTAAGCGGCGGGGTGATAAGCACAATGCCTTTTTTTTTGTAGATCTTGCTTAGGGAAATTTTAGTCAGTGAGATGTTAGCATTCACGGTGGACGTGTTGAGATGCCCTGTTTTCACGTTTACCCTGCGTAGTGCTAAGATTCAGATTTTAACACTAGGGCCGTTACAACGATGGTTCAAGTTCAATCATGCGCAGTGGAATTATCCCGTTGACTTTTTTTTTACCCAGCCTGATCTACTTGTCTGCCAAGACAGGTTTACGTTAGCTAGTACCTACAACGTCTATTGATCCCAAAATACCATTGATGTAAATTTCTGGTTGAGGATCTTGGTTCTGAATGTTGAGATTGAAGGGAAATATCATCAAAGGCAATTTAAATGACGAAAGACCTTTGGCCTTCCATCAGCCTGATAATATCAAACTTCAGAGTTCCTCATCCAATACATGGAATGAAGCTCGTACTCTTAAATTTGATGAAAGAAATACTAGTGCTGCAGCCTGTTATAGGTAGTACATAGTGCCATGACCGTACCCTCTAGTATTACTAGTCCTGTATATAGCTACAATGGAAGTTATTGCTTCAAACAGAAAAGCAGAGTCAACATCCAAGTCCATGATGTTGATGAAACAAATAAACCACCGAATTATCTTTCTATAACTGGGCCTACCTGTGAGGATGCTCAGATGCTCACAGAGATCAACGTACGGCGTAGCATACGAAGCAAAGGAAACAGTAGCTGTTCGACGAAAGTAATAGCTTGAGGAGAAGAAGAAGGAGGAAGCTGAGATAGAACTAAGTACATGTAGGCGTGGATGCCTAAGTGGATGCCATCTACGTCAGGCATCCGCGAATGGTAACAACTCCAGTTCGTTACACTACCTGTAAAATTTACAAGTGCATTAAACCAAGACTTCCACCATTGGGACATGGTGTCATTAAAGCAAAATGAGCATTAGATGGCAAGTCTTGTCTAGTACGATGTAGAAGAAACTAATAACCGGAAATCCGGAGCTAAATGACGTGAAAAGCTACTGGTATGCACATGAGTACGCATTGCGTCATGTTTGAAGCTGGTAGCAGTAGGTATAGTGATGGTTGGACGTGCACTGGGCCGTGATTGAGTGAAGATGAACTATACGATTTAGCCCAGCGATTATATCATAGAAGGATTTCTTCGCCGATTAATTATTACTAAACTATTGCCAGTGACTCAATTTCAAAAGGAAGGCCAAAGAGGACTATGTCTACACCCGCGTGGACTTTCCTAGAATGGTAATGAGAAATTGGAATCGGAGGGCTGCTAAATGGACCACCCTTTTTTGCTAAATGGACTATGGGCCCTTCTGACTCCAGATTAGTATGTAATCTCCATACAAATTTGAATATTGACACTAGAAAAGTTTCCAATTGTCTATTTTCTACTATTAGTTACCGTCTTCTAATATCATACTAGTAACTATCCAGGATAGAATATATTAGCTAATCTATTCCATCTCAGGTAGGTACTAGTCTGCCATGAAAACTTGAAGGCGGAGACTAGAGAGGTCAACAAGGGACTAGAAATCTTTGCAGCGTTATCGAGGTAGATTAAGTGTTACCAAAGTTGTATGGAGATTACATACTAATCTGGAATCAGAAGGGCCCATGGTCCATTTAGCAGAAAGGGTGGTCCATTTAGCAGCCCTCTGGAATCGTGGTAAGTGGGTTACTGCCGAATTCAACAGTCAAATGCGAAGCTTTCTCTGATTTCTGTTCCTCTCAATTTCTCAGAAATTGAACAGATCAATCATCATATCTTTATTTCTCGGGATGTTCGACTCTGACACCCTGTCTGCCTTGTCCGCAGATAAAGTCGACAATTATCTTCGGCATATTGAACTGCCCCACAGATACTGGCCTCAGAATAGCCCGAATTTGGATAGTGATCTTCTATCTGTTCTTCAAGCCTATCATTTTTCAACAATCCCTTAGGAGAATTTGGCTTTGCATTTCGCAAAAGATGTTCACATTTCACTCAACCTGAATGTTATCTATCAGAAGTTTGTCGACAAAAAGGGTGGCGGATATTGTATGGAGAATAATATATTCTTTTATAATATTCTGCGGTTCTTCGGGTTTAGGGTGTACCTAACAGGAGCTCGACTTCATCGAACAGGAGATGGCCAGCCGGCGGGATGGACGGGTTGGTGAGTACTACTCAGCACCAGACAAAGAAAAGGCATTCAAGTTTCTAACAAAATAATCGTTTGTTGATAGGGAACATTCCGTGAATATTGTGACACTTTCCGACCAGACCCAGTATTTGGCAGATGTCGGATATGGTGGAAATGGTCCTAAAGTTCCTCTGCCATTGATCTCGGGCTCGGTGGTGCATAATTTGGGAACCCAGGACCTTAGACTGGTCCGTGAGACAACAATGGGGTTATCTGATAGACAACAAGGGCGATGGACCTATCAATTTCGAAATGCCGAAGACCAAGCGTGGGCAATTGGATATAGCTTCACCGATATTGAGTTTACACTGAAGGACTTTGAGGTCATGAATTTCTTCACGAGCCGAAGCCCGGATTCATTCCTGACAACGAAGATACTCGTGGTGAAATTTCTTCAAGAAGATGGAAAGATTACGGGTAAAGTCATCATGGACCAAGAGCAGGTGAAGAAGAATACGGAAGGAAAGAATACGCTTCCTCAGACCTGTCAGACCGAGGAGGAGAGGGTTCAAGTTTTGGAAAACCTATTTAAGTTGAAGCTCCCGGAAGAAGAGAAGAATGGGATTAGAGGAAGAATATAATCATTGAGGACAGAAGTTTGAATATTAGATCAAAAGATCAAAACACTTGATTACTTCCGGGGCTGTCTTTCGAGTGACGAAGGATTGGTATGGCTCGGGTTTTATTTTCCCGAGAGCCGCGAGGCTAGTAGATAGACATGCGTTCACGGTAGTAACTGATAGTTATCTCATGAGCATCAGATTTAGCATGAATAAATAATAAAAAGATACAAATAGGACACGACAAGCATAAATATTGTATACATCAAAAAGAGAACCTAAAACCCCCAGGAATTCGGATATCACAGAGCGTATCCGGTAGCCGTAGGGCGTATCCGGTCAGCTTAGCAGACCCCGCGCGGAGTTACCCCGACTGCCCCCCGCGGCAATGATGTCCCGAGCTTCACCCCACGCTTTCCAATTTCCCCCTCTTGGATTGCCTTTTCTTCTTCATCCCAACTTCTTCAACTCTCTGTTTAGCCTGTTCATTCATCAAACAACATGCCCTTCAACACTCCAGTCCAATCAGCCCTGAAGGGACCCTCGGCCGCTTTCGGGTTCTGGCTCACGTACGTCCCCATTAACCATAATGCAACGAAGAGAAGATTCGCTCGACCCTCAGACTAAACATTTGCTTTGTAAACAGACTTCCTAGCGCCGGTGTCGCTAAGACTATTATCCACGGCGCCTCTGAATCTTCTGCGAAGTTCAGCTGGATTCTGGTTGATGCCGAGCACGGTCTTATTTCCGATCACCACTACTATGAGGTTAGCACTCGAGCCAAGCCCACATTGACTTGCGAAACAACGCAAGGCTTGTTCTAGTAGCTGACAGAGACATAGCTTAACAACGCCATCGGATCCGAAGGCGTCAGCCCCATTATTCGAGTCCCCTGTGCCGAGGAGTGGATGATCAAGCGTGCTCTCGACGCTGGTGCCCACGGTGTAATGACACCCATGTGCCACACAGAGGTATGTGCCCTGAGCTAGAATCGCTCTCAACTCCCGTCATTCTAAACCGAAGGAACCCAAAACTCACATACCTTTCTTTATCAATTAGGCCGATGCTATCAATATCGCTAAGTGGACCCGGTATCCGCCTCATGGTACTCGTGGCTATGGACCGATGTTTGCGCCTCACTCCTTCCCCGGAGTTGACCCCGGTGCTGACCATGACAACGGTGCAAATGATGGCCTGACCACCTTCGTGCAAATTGAGTCCCGGTCAGGCGTTTCGGAGGTCGAGAAAATTGCGGCAGTGGACGGAATCGATGTGCTTCTTATTGGGCCCTTCGATTTGGCCAAGCAGATGGGTGTTACTCGTTGCGGCGAGGAGCATGAGGCTGCCATCCAGCGGATTAAGAAAGCTGCCCATGCGGCTGGCAAGAAGGCTGCTATCTTCTGTATGTGCCCATTTGATTAAATGCTTGGATTCGGTCAACGGTACTAACAATATCCTCTAGGCACTGGTGGCGAGGATGCTCGCGTGCGCATCCAACAAGGATTCGATATGGTCTCTGTGAACACGGATGTTGGTGTTATTCGGTCGGCCATGGTTAATGAGCTGAAGGTTGCCAATGGAGAGAGCGTTCAGAGTGGACCTGGGGGTTATTAAATAATTTGATTATCCAGAGACTGTTAAATAGAACAATACCATACAATATGTACATACATCAAGATTACATGAAATCGCTGAACTCAAGTAGTTTGAGATTACTCCTGTGAGCCACTACAGACATGAAAGTTTCTACCGCCATCAATCTCCTTGATCTTGTGGCTGTCTAGCATAACCCCCAGCAATCGTCTAGCCGGATGAAGGGAATCTGAGTCTAGAACTGCCCGATTAGGCAAAAGCGCCTCCTCGCTTCTAGGCAAGGTGTCAACGTCTGATTAATAAGCCGGAATATTACTGGCCGGGTGGGCTTACTTTTCGGGGAAATGTGGATCTCATCCCATCGCATGTGGCAGCGCAAGGTGGTGAACTGCATGAAGGGCATAACAGAGGATTCCTAGGCGATGTCTTGACTTTGGTGTGGATCTATCCAGATCCCGTCATTCTGCCATCATCCGGCATCCAGCATAAACTGCCTACTCTTGCACATCACCCAAGCTCACGAGAGCAAGAAGCACACGCAATGCAGCCGAGACATTTAAACAGGGGTCTCTAGAGATACAATAGTGTGTGGGATTATCCTGGTCTTTAACAGTGACCCCCTCCCCCACCAATACTAGTACCGCCTGTGGACTCCCAAACGTCAAAGACGACACGAATACGGAGTAGGTGTTTTCAAGACGATCTCTCTACGTGTATGGAGTACTAGGTCCGATATTCGCTATGGAGGACGATATTATTTCTGAACTTGATGTTCCAAAAGGCGCAATCTTTGATACTGGTCTCCTGAACGAGGTCTACAACCTTTCGTTGCGAGCAGTCAATCCTGTCGATGTAAACATCAAGAATCTCTCTCTCGACATTGACACATCTTCTCCAATATGGGAAACATCACCCGCTGAAATCTGGCAGCGCCTCCGCGGCCGCAAGATCAAAGGCAGTTCGAAAAATGTCCTTCAGGGGGTGAGTGCAACCATGCTGAGTGGCAGTTTAACAGCCATTATTGGGAGTAGTGGATCGGGCAAAACATCTCTCCTCAACTTAATGGCTGGCCGTATGTCCTTGTCCAGGGCAGATAGGTCGGGAACGACCACTTTCAACGGTAACACGAACATTGATAGTGTTCGCAGCGCCTATGTTATGCAAGAAGATGTCTTGATACCCACCCTGACAGTTCGGGAGACTTTGCAATATTCGGCTGATCTTCGCTTACCACCGCCAACCACCAAAGAAGAGCGTCGTGCCGTTGTGGAACAAGTGATCCTTGAGTTGGGGCTTAAGGAATGTGCCAATACACGAATCGGAACAACAGCCCATAAGGGATGCAGTGGCGGAGAAAAGCGACGGGCCAGTATTGGAGTACAACTACTTGCAAACCCATCTGTATTATTTTGCGACGAACCAACGACTGGTCTCGATGCAACCAGTGCTTTTCAGATCATTCGGACATTAAAGCGACTAGCACAAGATGGAAGAACGGTTGTCGTCTCTATCCACGCACCTCGCTCGGAAATTTGGAGTCTTTTCGACAATGTGATCCTTTTGGCGCGAGGTTCTCCCCTCTATAGCGGGCCTGTGGCAGATTCGGTGTCTCATTTCGAGCAGTGTGGTCACGTTCTTCCCCCTTTTGTGAACCCTGCCGAATACCTCATCGATCTGGCTGCTATCGATAATCGAAGTGAAGCCCAGGAGACAGCGTCGCATTTCCGGGTTGACCATTTACGGGAGACATGGCGATCTCGTTTTTTACAACCGTCGAGCACTGGGAATCCTGAAAAAGAAGACGCCGAAATGCCACCACTTGGCAGAGTCAATACGGGAGGCATGAAAACAGTATCATTTCGTCGACAGTTGCGCGTGCTTACATCGCGCACTTTCAAAACTACCATTCGAGATCCAATGGGTGTTGCTGGGAGTTTGCTTGAGGCGGTTGGCATGGCTGTCATCTGTGGTTGGATCTTCTTGCAGCTCGGTGAAGATCTAGCGGGAATACGCTCACGGCAGGGTAGCCTGTATACCGCTTCCAGTCTGAATGGCTATTTGATTCTCTTGTACGAGACTTACCGGCTGACAATCGACATTCGGCTTTTCGATCGGGAGCGCAACGAAGGAGTTGTTGGGGTTCCGGCATTTCTGTTTAGTCGCCGACTTGCACGATTTCCTCTAGAAGACTTACCTGTCCCACTTCTCTTCTCCATAATTTTCTATTTCATGGTCGGATATCGCCTGGAAGTGGCCCAATTCTTTATCTTCTTTGCCCTGGCACTTCTTACGCATTACATTGCTGTCACATTTGCCGCCGTATCGATAGGCATCGCAAGGAGCTTTCCAGGAGCTAGCCTTGTGGGCAACCTATCGTTTACTCTGCAATCTTTTGCCTGTGGATACTTCGTGCAGTCGCAGCAGATTCCGGTATATGTGCGGTGGTTAAAGTGGTGTGCTTATACCTTTTACACTTTTGGAGCGCTTTGCGCAAATGAGTTCATTGGAACTGGAAGTTCGGAGCTCGGTCAGTTTTATGACTGTCCATATTCCGACGACGGGCTGGATCCAGAGTGTAAAGAATATACTGGAAAGTACATTATGGAGAGCCTGGGCATGCCGTCCAATTGGATCTGGCGACCCATCGTGGTCCTCGTGGCGTTTGCATTCGGCCACTATCTTGTCGCTGGCCTCTTGCTGCAGTATAATCGTTTCGCGATTGATATTGCACAGGCTCGAAAGTCAGAGCCAGATCCGTCCGCTGGGAAAGCAAAGATTGCAATTCGTCCCGCGGAAGAGGGACGACAGCTGGCTATATCACTGGACAAATACGCCTTGGAAATCCAAAAGCGACGATCTCCTTGGAAAGCTTCACAGAAACTTCAGATTCTGCGACCGATCACTGCTGAGTTTCGGCCAGGCGAATTGAATATCATCATGGGACCATCAGGCAGCGGAAAGACGTCGTTACTCAACTCCATTGCTTGTCGACTTCATGACTCGATCGGAGATAAGTACCAAGTCCACGGGCGCATGCTTTACAATGGGGCCGAGCCATCTGAAAACGTTATTCGTTCAGTGAATTCGTACGTGACGCAAGATGATGATGCTCTCATGCCGTCCTTGACGGTCCGTGAGAGCCTTAGATTTGCAGCAGGGCTGCGGCTTCCGACGTGGATGTCGCGCGAAGAGAAGAATCGTCGAGCCGAGGAGATTCTTTACAAGATGGGACTGAAAGAATGCGCCGGCAATCTCATCGGAAGTGAACTTATCAAAGGCATAAGCGGTGGTGAAAAGCGTCGAGTCACGATTGCCATTCAGATCCTTACAGATCCAAAAGTGCTACTGCTGGATGAGCCAACATCAGGGCTTGATGCTTTTACAGCGATGTCGATAATAGAAGTACTTCAAGATCTTGCGGCCGAAGG